TCCACATGTAACGTCGCAACGTCAAGATCGGTTTATTAGGCTTGGCTACTTGCGTGACAGGAGAGTAACGGTAGCTGAAACGGCACGAAATGAAACCCGTCGAATCCACCTATAAACTGTAAGAAATTATGGTTTGCGGAGGAATATTCCATGGTTTAAAGACACATTTAATGATCATTGATAGGAATTTAACGGCTGCACGCAGTCGAGATGAGATCCTGAGACCTCTTGTTGTGACTTTCATTAAAAGGCACCATTTGACATTTCAGCAAGATAACGCAAGGCCAAACATTGCAAAAGTTTGTAAGGACCTTTTTGCAACCCAGAACATCGTCCCTTCTGATTTGCATCCATATTGTCCCTATTTGTCCATGAAACTTGTGGAATGAATCAGACAGAAGAGTTCGGAATCGCGGAAACACAAATAACCCCCGCCTATTGCCCTACACACATACCCAGGAATGGAATACCATTCCTTTACGGACAGAAAAGTTCTTATACACTCCATACCACACCTAATTAGAGACGCTAAAACTGTTCGGGGAGGGATACGCGCTATTTGGGATCGGTCTGACGTTATTTCAATTCACTGCGATTTGATGAATTCCTCATTTGTCAAAAATGTCTGAAAATTTGAAGACGGATGGTCTTATATTCGAAGTTAAGTATTGCATTGCACATTTATTTATATTGTTCATATAGTATTTTTAACACAATGCAGAATAGATTCCAGATTTAACAAAAAAAAATCATAATTACTGTGTTAGTAATAAGCATCGAGAGATCATGCCATGTATTTGGAATGTCCTGTTTTGCTTAAAATTTTACGTGAACCATCTACAGATATCTTAATCTGCCAATGGATACGAGCGCCTGAATTTGCATAAAGAGGATAACGATTTTTTAAAAATGTATGAAGTAAGCTTTTTCAGTGAATTTTTAAAGTATCCTTGTCACTTGGTGACATCCAGTAATGATAAGAATTATAGTCTTAGTGAAAAAATTTTATGAAGTTTATTCACTGTTCGATGTACTGGTTGACAACTGCAGTGATGCGACTCCGCTAGCCGGCGGGAACCTGTTCGTACGTGTGTGTACATATCTACATCGATCCGAAGTGAACTCGGCCACTATACACAGGTGAGGGATCAAGAAAGTACCGTACTCGTGTATTGGCAAAGAGTATATCTTCATTCAGACGACAGAAGTGACGACGTTATATGCAACAAACACAGAAACTAGTTCTCTAATTTCATATGCGTTTTATTTGTTGCATTTTTCTTCAATATTTCATTTTTACGATATTTCTCAGCAACAGTTGGTAGGATTTCCTTGAAAAAGTCCGAATTACAACGCACACAAAAATTGTACCAAATGGCACTTAAAATTTCATAGTCTTAGGAAAATCATAAATGGGGTATTTCTCAATGACATCATTATTACAATACACTAGGATAAACATATTTCTAACGTTCATTTTGTCTAAAGCTTCAAAGCATTTAATTCGTATTCATTGTTGATCTCTTAATTACCTTTCGTAACAAATCACATAAGGCTATGAATATCAACTACTTTTATTAGAAATAAGTGTAATGTATATATTATACCTTCCATGATTACACATCACCTATATTATCTATGATAAAGCCATGCTGGTATACGTACAATTAATACTATCATACCAAGTATTGTATGAAGATTATTGACATATTTCATCAAACATTCAAAGGAACATTAGTTAATATTTAATTAAATTTGTGACAACAATGGGCTTAATTTGTATCAAATTGCCAACCATGCAACATACTAAGTAAATAATAACATATAAATTTAAAATTCATTACTTTTTTTCTGATAAATATCTTAATACAACATCAATGTTTAAATGTATTGTTTAAAGAGTAAATTTGTCAGTTTTGATTGGTCAATATAGTTCAATTGATTACGTTATAAATCTAAATTATCCAAGACTCATAAATCATTTTATTAGAATGTCTACCATTAATTAGAATAGTAAATTGTAAAAAGCATACATTGAAACAAACATCGGAACATATATGAAAGGCTTATAGTGGGATATTAACCAGAAGATTAAATCTGGATTTCTACACGGACAAAACATTTAAATAACACTGAAAATAGTTTTAGATCAATATCATATATTCTTCTTACATAATTCGGTCAAATATGCAGTTTATTAAAAAATGCAAACATTGAAGCGGCAGATTGTAGTGCAGATGTACACAGTAATACGTATTGCAAACAGTAATCGTAAGTTTTATAGACTGACTATCGACTTGCAGATCGGTTGGAATTCACTTTATGTCTTTTTAAATGACTTTAATAATAACAGTTTTAGGTTGATCGCAAGATTTGTTTATGATATTTTCAATTTCTCTCTGTTCTGGTTTTGGTTAGTTACATTTCTTCAACGAGGCATTTACAAATAACAATTTTTAAAATTTGCTTTTATTTTCGTGTCTGTTTTTGTTTTGTTTATTTTTTTCTAGAGTTTTTCAGTTGTTTTATCTGGTGTCTCCTTTTTAAGACAAGGTTTTGCACCTATGCTGCACCTCCTCGACAAAAGATTTCTACAAGTGGCGTCGCTAAAACTATATCAAAGTAGTTCGACAGTGAAACGGCCTTTAACTTTTTGTTTTATCTTTGCAGTATATTGCAGCATCTAACTGTACAACAGACACACAACTGAACAGCACGTTTCATTACAAAATTTGGAATTTATCTACAAGCATCATGCAGCTGTTTCGTTCTGCTAGGACCCGTCCGTGTTAAAATTTAGGACCTAAGTGGTTTGGACCTAGGAGGCGAACAAGAAAATTCAAATGGTTCGAAATGAATATTAATTATCAATAATGATATTAATAACTTTTTATAGAAAATAAAGCTATATTATACTAAATGTTTATCAAGGTTATGTTATTTTACTAATTAGTTCAGGTATTTCATGCATTTTGCAAATTATATCGGAACTGTTTGAGCCAGTTAGTTACACACTAATTCAGCAATACAAAACAATGTTCATTATACAAATGTAAAAGCTGATCAAATAGTGTATCAGCGCTAAGCAATACATAATAACAGCATATTTACACAACAAACTAACGTGCTTTTTACACAAAAAATACAATATATATCAAAACCAGCCGGAAGTCGGTTATAAAAAGTACTTAATTTCCAATATTATGCAACAGTTGTGGTTTTCAGCTGTTTTTGTTCATTCTTTTATATACCTTTCAATTTTTTTAGTATCAAGGAATAGATTCTTACAGCCTTTTGTGTTTTCTGTCCATATTGTTCAGTTGTTTACTATTGAAGATTGATACTGAGGGATGATTCGCTACATGTGCAGTCCTTTATCAACTGCACCAAGTATCCACAGTTGTCTAAAGAAGGGAAGTTTGACCAACTTGTATGATTTTATTTTAATTGTTTTACATGGATGTCTGCAGCTATATTGATGTATATCATCATTCACACACCATATTACTGATGAGACACATTGCAACCTTCTCAAAATCGTGTCAATTAAAATCACATTTAAATCATTTCGAAAACGTGAAACCAAAATCCTCGAAGAAACAGATTTAGTACGATTTGGACATTTCTGAATAAGGAAATTGTTGTAATTTTAATTTGATGTTTCGAATGAAGTCAAAACCTGTTATCACACTGTGATTACTGGCTTAGCAACAGACTCAAAACCGTATTTGAAGCCAGTCGTGATGTTTATCCGAAGATTGTCATTGATGATACAACATCACACATATTGCTTTTTTGTAATTCATAAATATTCACGAATTTCAGCATAATCAAACAAACAGTATTGTGCAGATATTAATCAATGGAGAAATTCGTTGATGAACTGCAATTTCTTTCTTTGTTTGTATATTGGGTTTATCAACACGTGAGTAGCGAAGTCATATTGAGAAGTAGACTTCCTGCGAAAGCGAATGGCTTCTTCACTGAACAACATACGGAAGGTCCGCCTCATCCTGTCCAGAGTAATTAGGATAAGTATGCTATTATAATAATCTATAATGCTTACTTGATACATTTGATATATGTACAATGTAACATAAATTATGGTAAGAATATGACGTAATTGTTGTATATGGTGTAATGCACAATATGTTGTAAAATACATACTTTCGTGAGGCTAAAATTTCGTGGTTAAAAAAAAAAAAAAAAAACCTTTTCGCTGGCACTCGATTTCGTGGATATATCTTGTTCAAGATATCAATTAGTAATATAATCCACGAATACAACGAAAAACACCCCACAAAAAATAAGGGTGGATACTATGTAATAATCATCACTATCGCAGCTAAATATAAAAATTGAAATGTTTAGTTTCACTAAATAGTACAAACTATTTCTGATTTTGAATTAGTTATATAAAATATTATATATAAGGTTTGATATAATATGTTATAATATTTATATTCAATGTACTGGGTAATAGGTGATATGTGTACAGAGTACTTAACATTCATCGTTCTATAAACAATCAATTAACCATAGCTATTAATTGGCGATATATCATAATACAATGTAATAGATATTTTTTTAATAAATTTGTCATTGTAATGTTATATACAGATAACTAATCCCTTTATCATGATGTAATGTATATATCTAAGCCTAGATGTTGGTAGCTGAATATCAGTGAGATTGCACAAAGCCGAGGGTAATATGGAAAATGAAATAACTCACAACTAAGTCCTGTTTCATTTAGACGCATTTGTCAGCCATTCATTGGCCACATAAGCTCATGGAACAATGCTTTACTTGCGAATCTCTCTTTCAAGGAACAACAGTGACAGTTTAACAACAATATGTAGTGGTAAACAACACTATTCTACATCAAAACAAAACTATTATTCATAAAATTACTATACAGCATTAAAAAGCATTATCTCCTCATTATGACATCCATGCATGGTAGGCAAGTGACGTTTATCACGACGAGTAAACTAGCATTAAAGCCTGGCGACATTATCGCCATACGTGTTTACTACAGAATAAGGTGGGGGCGCTCCTAGTCCCGTAGGGAGTTGTACATCAGGTCGGAACAGATTCTTCATTTTCTGAAAACATCATCGAAAGGTAACATACTTTAAAAGACTGTTATTATGAGTAATAAACAATGTTAACAAAATATATATGCATGAACAAATAAGAAGATATTAATATAATAAAAAAATAAATGATTATTTAAAAAAAAGTATGTACATAAAGATACAAAAATGTATATATATAATGAACGTATGTGACTAGCCCAGTCGGATAGCTAACAATATCAAAATGTAGTCGAAATACAGTAAGAAAATGTTTTTACGTGGAAACACTTCATTGCTAACAGTATAACTACTGCTTAATAGTATGAAAATGATATGATATAAAAAAAATATCACAAACAAATAAAACACAATCGTTTGAATGGGCAAAAGCTGTATCTTAATCAAGCTCTTGTGTCATCATGACTATTAAATATAACTTTAAATATCACAAAAGCAACTTACATCTCTGAAAGAATTTCCGGAGGTAACATAGGTCTTGTAAAGCATATATAACGGAATGACCATCACAGACGACAGAGCCATTAGAGCGCCTATAGCATGTGCCCATGTAGGATATTCATAGTCCATATACTTCACTGCTTTCAACTTTATAAGTCGGAACAGCAAAACACCCTGTAAAAAACATATTGCTGTAGCTGTTAGATGTGCACCTTCAAGTTTTTTTTATTTCTACATATTCTCGAACATCGTCCTACAAATTTCCATCAAAGCACATTGTAATTTCAGAAGAACAATGATTGTGAATTTTAAAATGTGACTTAACGCCTTGTGGTGTCCACAATGTCTATATCTATCATCTTATTTTCCACAAAAGATCAGAATTGATTTTGATAAGATGAACTTGTCACCTACATGAGGGAATCGTGATTTTTTTGTTGCATTTAAAAATGTAAGATCTTACTTACTACCATTGAAATATGTATAAAAGTTTCAAGTAAATAACAGAGAAGGTTTTATGACAATCTCAAGAAATAAAATAAATTGTTTTGTTAAAAGACTTGAAAAAACTTCACACGAAGTGAATAAGATAAAGATCACGAAAAAACATATTCATCGCCGTAGATCTAGTACTTTAATTTGTAGATTGCAAAAGTGTTGAATACTCACAAGGCATATAGCAGGTGTCATAAAAGCCCAACAGAACTTGAAGAATCTGTTTGGATAAAATCCAAACATACTGCGGAGGTTTTCATAGTACCGATTCACGCCTAAAATAATATATTCACCCTTTATCACAATTTATATATTATCTACACTATAAAACTTATAATTTGATATTTTATCATGCTACCATTTTCTGGTATCAAACTGTTTATGAATGGAATATGCGATAATTATTTGAAATACTAATTAAAATTTGTCGTATCTAAACAATATTCGCATTAAATCGATATCATATTTAAAGAATTTTCTGGATATACGATATAATGTGTTGAGTAGCTGAAGGAATATAAGTACAATGTTAATACTTTATACCTACATATATCTATATCTTACCGTAGCCCCAGGAAACAGCAATGCACTCAAAGAATATCAGGCAAAGGAGACAAAGACCACTAGCGGAGTAATGATTGAAGAGTTCAAACACGTAAATCCCTCCCTACAACAGGCGTAAATAGCTCAGGATTAAATGTAGGGTATAGCTTAATTCATTCATTAATTTCATCGTGTAAATAACGAAAAACTCAAAATTTAAGAGATAAAGAAAAATCATGGTTAAGATAAAATCGTTTAACAGTGGTTGAAATGATATCATCCCATTGATAAGTTAATGAATAAGCGACATTTTCTCTCCGATTTCCAATTAATTACTAATCAAGAAGTCTAATCTTCTATGAAACAAGCATTTTCATTGGTTTATTTTAAACCTCTTTAACGTAAAATATTGAAGTCATTTTGTAACTCCTCGTTTGATTTTCCAATATGGAGGTATAATAAATTATAAAGTAAAAGTGTCTATAAAGAATGTCAAAACGATTTGAAATTGTGATTTAATATTATATATTCTAGTAAATTTTCGTCAATTTATCATCAAAAGAACATGTAATTTTTATTCTTATTTATTTCATATATGACAATGTTTACTTTACAAGCATGACAAGCTCAAGATGGTTTTTTATTGGCCTCATTGCAATTTCTGAATTTTCCTCTAAATTTGAAGATACGTTGATAGAGTCAAGACCCATTGCATACCTCCGTCACCATCGATAAACCAACGAGATAGGACAGAAAGCACACAACAGCGATGAAAATTTCTCTGTTCTTCCGCAGATAGCGTGGCCACTCGTCTATCAGGGCCGTGAAGAATCCTTCCATGGTACAGAACTGTAAGAAAGACATATGTTACAATCGGCACTTCAATCACGTCATTATACAATGTATGTTAGAAGATGATAAATGATAGGCATATAGTGTGTTTAGCAAAGCAACACATGTTTACTATTAGATGGTTATATTATAATTAGAGGTTATCATGAGTTGTAATATAGCTAAGTTCGTCATGAGCGTCACGATCTTGTTAACACTGTAATTCTTCATGTGATGTGTGATATATATAGTAATAAGTTTCCATAAACATTCTGTTATAGCGTCAGCCAACTGTCCCTTATATCAAATACGTTTTCAAGTAGATTTAACAGTAACAGAACCGGTCTAAAAATACGGTTATAGGTGTATATATACGAGAATACAACAAAAAAGTATACCTGGCTGTCAAGACCTAGCATAAGGACCATTAAAAAGAAAAGCACAGCCCAAAGAGGCGAGATCGGAAGCTTGACAACAGCACTCGGGTAGACAAGAAACGCCAGACCGGGACCTACAAATAATTACAATCAACGCTTTACAATACATTTCATATTAAACACATTCAATTCAGAAAATATATATGCATTAAAACTACTCAACTAGTGTAAAAAGTTCAAACGATATAATTTATCTCTCATTTCAAAACATTGCATTTCAAAGGACTTACGTGATAAAGGAATTAGCTAGCAGACAAAGCCAACAAGAACCCTCTCCTTATTACACTGCATACGAATACAAGCAACAAACCATGCATGTAGTGCAATAGGAACTCTTAGAATTTAAACATTAATGAACAGGTATATACCGACTAAAATTGACTGAATGGACACAAGTAACATATAATTGATTCTATTAAATTAAGTATCAGTCTATTTGTAGTTTTCGAAAGGAGGCCAACATATAAATTGTCCAAAATTCAAGATTCTATACCTGAACCAGGCAGTGAACAAATGCATTGACGTTTCAACCAATTTGTGTAAGAAAAAATGTGATTTTTTTTTTATAGAAATTAGTCTAGTATCTAGTTTTGTTAAGGGCAGCTGTAGGAAGATTGTATTCGTATCAATATCAAAAGCATTGAATTTAGGCATTCGGCCTTACAGAGAGGAATATGTATTCACAGGAATATAATAACCGAGAGCGGAGTGAAATTTAAGAGTGGTTGCCTTTGGTTAATAAAGAGACGGCAATAAGTGAGCAGCATAACCTCACATAGGCAGGGCTACCAAATAGGTCGAAGTTGAATATATCTTAATCAAGATAACTGGCAAAGGATCATATCAACACCGAAATACTCTAAGATTGGATAGCAATCTAATTTTTTAGATAATACAATGGAATGTTATATATCAAATTAATTCAATAAAGAAATCAGTGTGTTCAAGCCAGAAAGATAAAGTCATCAAAATAGACCTTTTCATGGGAAGATATTTTTCCCATTAATCTTCTTCCAAAAATGGCCCCAACAGATCAGTCATTTATTCATCGAAATTCGTTATTCGGTTTCTTGTCCATTGAAAATGAGATGTTTCCGATCAAATTTGGTAGATGTTCCAGGAAAATGGGACGTCAGACGATATTACTGGATGACGTGAGAATTCTTCATTCAAACCTGTTTGATCCATACAGGATATTTTTAAAATTGACTTATTATAACACATGAGTCATCTAAATGTTGACTTAATTGTCGAATCTGAATTATTTCTATAACTGGTTGTGTTCTTGACTAAATTTTGTTTTCGATCTCGAATTTGTATGAAACTAACGTGTGCACTCGTGATATTATCATGTGTATTTGTGTCCTTTTCCCCAGCGTCATGTTGACAATAGGTTTATAGGTGAGAAGTGGAGGAAAATTGTTGTTCGCTACATACAAAATACGAGATCTACACCGCCACACGAACTCGTGGGCTATATGTAAATGCATGCTGTTTGTTAAGTCTAATGATGCCTTGCACTTGGAACCAACAAAGCCAGCGATCCATTATCTATCAGACACTTCCCAGAATTGAAACTGACCCTTCAGACTAACATGGCTATTCCACTATGATTTACAGTTTAAAACGCAATTATTCATGGTTAAGGGCTATGATTTCATGGTGACTTTAATCTTGTTGTCTGTCAATATTAGAGACTAATTTTATGTTTATTTGTAGGAGTTATTTCCCTTCCCTCATGGATTCTAAGAGTTATGACCCTTATCTATAACTATTTGTATGAAGATCCTAGACCCTACAGCTTAAGCACACATCTTAAATATTTATCAGATCTCTTATATAACAGTGACACCCACTGCAACCCTTTTGAAAAAAAAAATAAATGTTTTATTTCTTGCTTGTATACTTTTGGTCTGCTAAACTCAGTAAATATATAGAGAGTTTATGATAGGTTGTGAGTAGTACATAGTCTTATCCTATAATCGAAATTTCTAAATATTTTGGGGATAAATATTTTGTCACTCTCTGTGGGAATAGCCATTTTTACTCGCCTTTTTTGTTGAGATATTTCTTGTCAGTGAAAATGAGTTACTATCCCCATAGCTATGAAGTAAAGTTATATAAATAGTTGTTTTGGGGCAAAACTAAGGATGATATATAGAGTATTTTTGATAGTTTCCCGCTTAATATCATCTATATTTCTCAAGTATGACAGATTATCTAAAAATTTCACGAATGATATTGTGAAAAGAGTGAAATATATATGATATTAAACGGGAAACATTAAATTATCTTTTTCTTTCATTTTAAAAGAAAATAAACGAAAAAAAGGCCTATCCAAACGTAAAATAAAGCGAAATTCGGGAAATATTAGTGCGTTGTTTGACATGAAAGCAACGATTTGGTTGGTCAAAAATATCATTGTCATATCATCACTGGAAAAGTCATGTCATTACCAGTGATGATATAAGCTTTCTACTATATTTACTATATTTCATTGGCAAAAATGTAATGATAACCTTTAGTTTGTTATTTGCTGTACTATGCATCGTTCAGACCATAGTATTCTAACATGGAATGTAAATGGGAAATGAGTGTTCATATTATATAACAACATCAAGAGTCTAGTAAGTAAAAGATTCTGAAACTGTTAAAGTGATTAATCTTACTACCTCTACCTATTACATTTTCTTGTATCTTTTAAGAAGGATCGTATATGACAGAAATATTTCAGTATTGTTTTATTTAACCCGGAGCTACTTAAAGTATCCTTTTTGCGCTTCAGATAAGGGTAAATTACCGGAGACTGCTACATCAGCAACCGCCATCTGCTGTTCCTTGGCCATAAATCCTATGACAGAAAATATGACGAAGCCGGCAAACATACTAGTGGCGCTGTTGAGGACGGAGATGAGTACAGCGTCCCTAAAGATAAAAGGTAGGTTGTTACTGGTGTACCTGTATATCGCGTCATCATCGATCTAGGTAAAGTGTTCCAGACTAATAAATAGTCAACCAGCCACTAGTGTGATTATGCTGGTGCAATATAGATCATGTTTATAGTATTTTTTCATTGTGAACAATAACATTTGTGATGTGATTTGTTATGTAGATATAGAGATATCAAATTGATCAGTAATATACTTTCATATTTCGAATTAGCATGCAGATCGTTTTATGGTCTTCCATCAATAATTATGTGATAAGGACTGCTGTTTTATAGCAAAATACTGTAAAATTACTCATTTTTGTGGGGGATTTATTTTCCATGACCTGTCAAAATAATTATAAGTTAATGTATTATGTTATATCTATGCGCGAAATCAATTGTTAATGAAAAAGTGTATTTTTTAAAATCTACGAAAATAGAGCCCAACAAAAATATGTGATTTAAGTTGAATATGGTGGACACAAATTTAGCTTTATAATCAATTAGTAAAGTTTACATTAAAAAATAAACACCGTGATAAACACACGATGTCAGCTGATTATTTGCTCATAAAACAGAACACGATTTCGTGTTGTAGACTTTAGACAGGAAAAACTATTTCATGAGGTTTTTATTGTATTTGCCTTGCTAGCTATCGTGAATGATCGGAATTTCCATCACAGCACTGTAACAGTGTTAACGTAATGTAGAATGTCAGGTGTTATATTTGTAGATACACGCCTAGAACATATTTAGTGTTTAATTCACAGGACATAGACTCACAGCGTTGATTTACATATATATTATATATACATATCACGAAATGAAAATCATTTGACTCATTAACCATGTGCAGAATGAGATATGAGAAATTGCTCTCTTCAAAACTTGGAAGTTATCTTTGTCTATTATTCCTCTGTCATTCTGATATCCTGAAACATACCTACTATATGACCATGCTCATATTTTTGCAATGAAAAAAAAAAAAAAGAAAAACAAATGACTTTGATTTTTTGTATTTTGAGATGGCTGTGGTGAGTGTCAACAATGGTGCAGGGTGTTAGGACATAGCCGAAATGGACAGTGATAAGAAAATACTTACTTATAGACGTTGTTGTTGTACTTGTTATAACTGCCCAATGCAATGAGCGAGCCCAGACCAAGGCCATAGGAAAAGAATATCTGAGTCACGGCGTCCAGCCAAACCTACAACATCAATGAGAAAATACAGCCTCATCACATATCCGATTGCGTTAATGTTAAATCTCTAAACATTTCAAAATTATTTACAGATGTTTTCCAAAAATTGATAATGATTTTTTATTCAATCTTTATTTAGATGTTAATATTGTTTTTAGGTCAGTAATAGCAAAAAGTATTGTATTTGACGATGTTTACTTATCAATACTTTCACTTATATATTTCACTAATATTATTAATTTAATTTATTCATTAATACATTATTTATTAATTCATTTAACTTGTTAATTTACCAGTCATCATATGTTTAAAAGTCTGATTATCTTCACTGAGTTTTTAATGAGCGATTTACCCCTGACTCAGCCAGTTTCGAAACATCTGGATATATGTAATACCGGATACCGTCCCATGCCCCTGGAAGTGTAACACCTCTGATGAGGAGTATTGTCAACAGGATATAGGGGAAGATGGCGGTAAAGTAGACAACCTGGAATAAAGATAAAAAAAGATAACCGACAAAAGTGATCATACATATATATTTATCCAAAGTAATTATTTCGTAGTTTTATCATAATATTATTAATATTTGATTTGCTTTTCTGTTTTCGGTCGTCTAATCAATCACATGGAAATTAATGTACTGGTAGTTATTAATTAAAGTAGCATGATATTTCTATATATCAAACATATGAAATATACATAGGCGCGGTACCTACCTTTCCTGTCCAACCGATACCCTTCCAGATGCAGAAGTAACACAACACCCAAGCAAGGAGAAGACAAAGAGCTAATTGCCAGCGCACAGGACCTGGCTCGTCAACTCCAGGGCTAACCTGGAGAACATGTCGTCTAAAAAGATAGACAACGGTCGTTGTTCAAATAATACATACTTTACATCTTTTTAAACCCCAGATTGAGCAAAAATGTTAAATTCTTTATGCGACAGTGATCCGTGATCCTCGTTCTCGGCAAGACACAAAAGCTGTCGTCTTAAATGCACATTATGAGTATTTAAGTGAGGAACAGCTGTTATTACAGAGATGCCCTTATGATTGTACGTGCATGTTAAACTGTTTTGATAAAACAGATTATTATACACATTAAGCAGGTTCATACTATTTTAAACCAGCATGATAGACAGGAAACAAGCAAAACATACATATGTGATTTAAACATTCTCCTTATTTACATAAACCATCGGTTATAGAATGAGTCTTTATTGTCACAGATATGATATTGAACTCACTCCCAGTATTCTCGAACAGGGGATGTAAATGGCATGGCGCTACAGTTAAACCCCGGATGCGATAATTCCATAGCAGTTACATTTCCGTTTACAGTTGTATTGGCTTCAGTCCAAAACGTCCCATTGGTACAGTTGTAGAATGACCACTGGCGATCGTACTCGGACTTGCAGAAGTCACTGTTCCACCAGTTGTCGCACGTAGACCAGGGAAGGATGTTCGTAAAGGAGTTGAACAGATAGTAGAGTGCCCAGGCCAGAAGCACAACATAAAAGATGTTTAGCCATGCGGCCATAACGGCGGCGGCATACCCAACACCTGAAAAGGAGCTATATCATTAGTCTCTCCAAACCATATATAATGTCATCAGAACCGTTTTTCCATTGGAGATTTACATAGAAGGTTTCCTCGATGAATCTGAAGACGCTTGCTCTTCCTGAACACCTGATCTTATTCTCCTCGAACCTTTTCTCGGAGTTACCGTGTAAGTCTTTATTTCGTTTATATTTTGTACTAGTTGTATTGAATTTCTATTTGGAATATAACGTTCATGTGTTGTTATTTACTTGTTGTTTCAATTTACCTGTTGTATGAGTGTATAAAAGGTATTCCGCGGGCAGAGAGTGAAGACATCTACATCGTAAAGACCATGCTTTTGCTTGCTTTTAAAGAGTGTTCTAGAAGTAATTCCCATAATAATATAGAATTATGGTAAACATAAGTCAGCACAACATATGATTCTGATCTTTCCTTTCTTAAATTAATAACTGTGTAAAAAAAAAAAAGGTAATAAAAACCATGCGCGGTATAATGATGGTTGGTCAGCGTTTGACCATTCTTGTTTATTTGAAGTTAACTCTTCCGAAAGTATGAATTATATAAATAGGTACAGAGCAGAAAAGTAATGCAAGCTATTTGTTATGTATTTTCGTCATGTTCAAATTAAAATATTCATATGACAATATGAGAGTCATGGTTGGGGAGATATGATTCCTCAAATACTTCATCTTGTATTGTATAAGATGGTTACTCTACATTCAGTCGTCAAAAGTTCAAATGGATTAGTAGTAGATATTGAGATTGATCGAAATAATGTATCTTACGACAGTTAAACACTTCTTAATAAAACTGGTGAGAAGATCTATATCAACTTGTGTATATTATGTAATCTATCCAATAGCTTCTTTATTTCCAACTTAATAACATGCGTGTATAAAATTTGTGCAAAATCAAAATTATTAGTTTGAAATTGATTAGTGCATTGCCTTGTTTATAAATCCTTCTTACGGAGTGGGTTTAATACTGATTTATTACCTTACCTTTGAATATAGGAGAAATTTTCCAGACACCAAGGCCCCCAGTACTTTGCCATTGTCCCAATGACAACTCCAAGAAGTACATAGGTATTCCAGCGAATACAGAAGTCAGGAGGTAAGGTATCAAGAAGGCACCTGTTCAAAAAGGAAGAAACTTTAATTATCTATAAAAAAAAGGAGAAACTTCATTTTTTTCTATCACTAGATAAGCAGCTGAAAACAAAATATTAAGCTGTACATACTGCTTTACTTTTTAATTGAAGCAAAATTAATTTAAAATATACTTTTCATGGAAATTGGATTATTTATACCATGAAGAAAACAGATCACAAAGTTTCTGCCAATACGTGAAAGTGACAATTCATAATACAAATTTAGTACGTAATTACATCATACTTTGTCAGAAAACTTTCAATGTACAAGTATTCAGCACCACTACCTGGAGTTCTTACAATAAGCCACATATGAATGCACCTGTATTGGAACGTAAAGGAACATTAACTTCTAACTAATTGTTCAGAATTTTTTTTATGTTCTAGATTTTTATTTATTTGAAGTAATTTCAGTTTTAAAAATACCGCTTGTATTAAAAGATGATATATCGTCTTTTCACAGTGACAGGACGTAACACCGATACATTGTCATGCATTGGAATAATGCAAACATGATTCCGCCTTTTTAGCGACCCGGTGTAAGGTTTAAATTTGAACCGCGGTGATGACACAGCCTTTGAAAATGGACCCTGGAAAAAGTCAATTTGTCACAGGTAGTCCGGTGAAAGTTTGCCATGGAAAATGTACCCAATCGGGGTCAGATCGGGGGGGATTTGTTTTGATAATAGTAATTTGACATTTCACATTTGACATAACTTCACATAATAATAAGATGTCCAAATGCATGCACTTTTAATTGATATATATTTCCTATTTGACCTAAAACCTTTAGGGTGCTATACAAGCATCGACCTTCGGCATAGCATATGAAAAATATACAATGTTGATTTATATTGAAAAATGTTTAAGTTAACAAACACACTGATTGTGGTAGTCTTGCCGCCTATTACTTACAACAAAAGCATTGATGTGGAAAAAGCACGACGATATCAGCATGTCTGGATATCGAAACAAATTTAGATCAACATGAAATCGGCACTGCCTAAAAATGAGCGCATGTTGATCAACATTTTAAACTGCATGATTCATGATATCACTGAACCCTGTTTTTGTTCTTGTTTTTTATTTTATTTTTTGTTTTAATTTTAACAAGACAGACGCCGACATATCTACATACACCTTTGTGTTACCACGGACATAGATATATCTCCGTGGTGTCATCACCGTCATCTTCTTTAACTAGACGCTATTGCATTCATCATCAGGCAGTGGTCAGGTGGCGCTGTGGTACCACACTCTTCTTTCTCCTTGCCGACCGGGCTATGATTCCCTGAACGGATTTGGGTTTTCTCTGTTTTTTTCAAACAGTGAGACCTCTCGCTCGCTTACAAGAAGAGTGATTAGTATAAGTTGATGTTGATATAAATAAAGTTTATATACGGAGCGAGTATACAAAAGTGGACGACAAAATTAGAAAGGGTATTTGAGGAGGGGGGTATTTAAGAATAGGAGGGAAGAGGGGAATAAGGTATTTCATAAAAAGTGCGCTTATGCACGACGATCATGTTAGAGACTGGAAACTGATGTAATGAAAATTACAACTTTATGAATTATGTCTTATTTGTTTTCATTGCATATTGTATGTTAAATATAAATAGGATGCGTTATTCTGTTATTTTTTATCGATTTTCCCAATTTCTTCAGTTCCGTTCACATTTTTTTCGTAAGCGTCTCCTCTTTACAACAAGTATGGACTTTACGATGATCATGCATGGAACATCTAAATTAACGAATTATATTTATCAGCTTATGTACGTTGAGTGCAGACACTGATTTGTATGCATAATAACCTGATTGTCAACTTTTTCACACCTCCTGAAATGTTGAAAAAGGCGAAAAGGTTAATAGCGGACGATAAACCTGTTAAATAAATGAATAAATAAAGCTAACTTTATATATTGGAGTGTTGTTATCACTGATCTTTACAAAATTGGATGTTTGTTTATTTAATGAAAAAATGGGTGATTGAAAGCTGACGCTTGTTGGTTTAGAATTGCCACACACAATACGCTGAACTCGCAAATAAAAGTTGGTCCCACTAGTTGATGTTACTCAAACTTCAGAAAGCCGGCACGAAAACAATGAACATTGGGCATATGGAGCAGGTAAGTTTACATGTAGAGTTCGATATCGCAAGTGCTGCATCCTTCTATGCTGTCGTCATATCACACGTAGAATACAAGTATATAATAAATCGAGGACTCGCTGTATAGTTTGAATAGGGCGTACATTATATTGTAAATGTGTCAACTCACCGATATCGATAAAAATAGATTATTTTCCCCTGCAATCGTTTAGCAAAGTTGTGAATATTGGGGCTTTAACGCATGACAAGCACATACCAAAGTTTGTAAACTTTTGATAAAAGAAACAGTTATAACAAACTCTTATTATCAAAATCCTAGAAGGCCACCTGTTAGTCCCGAAACATGGCAGAGCAAGACTAAAGACCACAGGGAAACCTAGATATAAAATCTGAAAAAGATTCAGTGGGTGGTTCTCAAGGAAACGTGATAACATCAGTAGTTTACGGGCAGACGGACGACAAACCACTCTCCACAATAAAAACAAAAATTGATATGATTCACTACATGACAACAACAAATTGGCTATGTGTAAAAAAATCTCTAATAAAAAGGTACAAACAAGAAAGTTAGAGTTAATTATGTGACCACGATCTTGGAACTGGCTACGCGGCGTTTAAAAGGTTTTATCAGGTAACAAAGGTTATGCAAAAACATTTTGTAGTTGTAAATGAAGATCATTCCTATTTTTGTCTAAACAGCAAGTTGAGAAATCCTGTCATAGAAACAATTAGATTAAATACTAATATATCAGAGGCCAAAATCGGAGGATTGGTCATTCATATACCCTTCTTGCTTATTAACAAAGCAGTCATTAGAACTGAGGACAGATAACTCACTAATATATGATCCAAGTATATTCTTATAATCACGTATATTTAATGTTTCTTATCTAAATTTGTCGTAAAAGTTATCTTTAGGTACTCTGTGATTATGAAAGATACAATTTTAAATTCAAAATCATTTCAAATTTTTTATAGGTTGATATTACCACTCAACTGATGTAGAAATTGTGTACAACATATATTAAAGCTGGTCAGTCATGGTCATTTTAAGCATTTGAATATAACTAGATATATGATAAAGCTGAATTACACAATGATGATATTTTGATACCAGCTTTCAAATATAGTCAGCAAGTTATCCAGAACTATACACAACCTTTAATGAGAAAATGGGAGCACAAACGTAGATCGCAAAGCCATGATAAAACTGCATGTTGACTTTATAATGCATTTATTTATTTGACATGTGTCCGTTAATAATATAGAGTTTTTAAAAAATAATGTAGCTCAGTTTATCTATCATTTGCTATAACTTGGATGAGAAATTATCCAAATAGGATTGGATTTTGAAAATCGTCTTTTAAAAAGCGCACTTTTTTAACACATGACATTCCTACTACTGGCATGTATTCTTGATACATTCACAAATATCAAGGATAATACATCAAATAAAAGTAAAAATTGTTTATAGATTGCCTTCAAATAATTATTTTTGGTGGGGCTATATTTTCTGTTAATTCGTGGATGATCTAAAGCCGTGAATTCATTCGTCCATAAATAAAAGTTAAAAGTAGTTATAGAACTAGTGGGTTTTATGTACAATATTTATCTACGAAATACAGCGTCAAGGAAAACTTTTGGAAAAGACTTAACTTACTATGAATGGTGGCAATAACGTGTTTGTAAATCAAATCACTATTGTTTCTTCCTGTCATGTTTTGAAATAAGAAAAAAATATCAGTACAAAACATAAGGAGTTGTGTATTTATATAAGAGAGAGAGCTTGATATCTGAAACATAAACATGTCCCGATGAACAATATTGAAATAACTAATGTGGAGATAAGTAGGGATTTGTACTGTAATCCTCATTCTGTGCAGGGCTAAATATATCAAATACATACAATAGTTTAACTACATGCACTTCTTTTCAGAAATTAGAATTTGTGGTTATGTATACAAAATATTTTTATCAGCAAGCAAAGTTTCAGTAAGTGAATTAATGGTAGTATTTAAGGCAAACTGGTTATTCTTCCATGATTTTCCATCCTTTGATAATACAGCGATGAGATATACACAAAAGACAGAACCTACGACAGCTCATTACTTTTAACATTTACATTTATCCCTGCATCTATCGTCTGGAGTAGTGAATTGACGTGTTATAGATGAATAACAATATTCTTATTTCGCTAACTTTATCAAAGGTTTTCAAAAAATTGTTTTTCATATACCCATAAGCGCTTTCGACGTAAGCCACTGATATGAGTCACAATGTTCTGGTTTCAATTTTCAACTTTGAACATACAACCTGTAAACTTGATTAACATAAAAGAAAACAGAAGCATATTTTTGCGGGGTCCATTTCAACATTGAATATGGAACTAAATACATTGTCGCTTTATATATAAGACAAGGGAAATACGCATTGATATTCCAGAGTTGCTTTTCAACAATGAATATAGACCCGTTGTGAACATGATTAAATCAACATGATGGATCACATCATGTTCTGAAGCACATTTTAAAAACTGTTATATTGAAACAAGTCCATTTTAATGGGAAAACAAGGAAAGTACGTCATTTCACTGTTATGTTCCCTTTCAAAGATAAATATTGAGATGTTTAGCACTGGATTAATTCAATAGGCAATACAGTTATAATATTCCTCTGTCTATTTTCAAAGGTGAATTTCGAACAGGGTCGAATTATTCTGAGGTCCATTCTTTAAATGTTGAATATGGAACAGGGGTTACAAGTCTTTACAGACGTAACAGCTGTATGATGCAGTTTGGTTCGTTGTTTAGCTCTAGTTCTAATTTTGTGTTAAAAGGTATTATTCACTTTTAATGTGCGTCTTATTGCATATTGTACAATTTTCAACATTACCTATGAAATTTTAACAAGGATGAATTTCACAAGAAACAGACGTCACTATAATCGTGTGGTCCGCTTAAATATAAAATATAGAACCGTTGTGAACTTAATTAACTCAACATGAGATAGCGTCATAATATTTGGAAATCCACTTTCCATATTGTATATAAAACCGACGGATTTCAATGAGTTACAGAGTGGGGGTATCCACTGTTTGTTTTCTCATGGCACAGCCAAGACCACCACAGGTCATTAATTCACTAGCATTATACAAATATAGGTAAAGAAAGAGTAAGGATCTCAACTGTTTCTATACACAGACCCCCTCTCTAGGATTTCAGCTGATTCTGAAGAAACGTAATATTTACTAGCCCACATATATGGTGGGTCATTAAAACGCCCCTTCTTTCGTGGTTTGTAGTCTGGACCTGTGATCCATACGTTCTGATGTCCGTTCAAATTCTTTCGATATACTGGATAGCTGATTTTTATAGACTGGGAAAATTTTATATTGTTTCTAGTATTTGACAATGACACCCGGACCTTCATAATGATGACTTAACTGGCGACGGACTGACATTAGACATTGCGATATTTTGTTACCTATCTGGAGATCTACAATCTGATTATTACCATCAGTTACATTCTCAATATCTTCATCGACAATGTATACGTAAGCAAGTTATTCATCAGCTGACCTTTGTTCTTATAAACAAAACGCAAACTAAGCAGCAAGGTACACAGGGCTCATTTGTTTGTGTGAGTTCCCGAATAAAGTGAAACAACATCGGAAAGATATTTTGTTTAAACCCCTATGTCTTCCATTATGAACATAATAATACATTGTATACATGTATTATTGGAATGTTCGGTAATTGCACACCTGTGAAGAAATTGTATAGCACGCGTAAATGGAGATTGAGTTTATTCTTTTTCATGTAGGTAATGCCAGAGTGTCTATTGATACTTGATACTTCTCAGCCGGCTTGTTAACAGTCAAATTAGTTTTTCATTGGTATAAAAACTGAAATATTAATAATGAAAAAAAAAGATTGCTCCTTTACATATGCTTTTCTATGTCTCAATTTATGCCTCCATGTACCTGGAAATTGACTGAAGTTTGACTTAATATCTGAATAAGATCTACAGACTCTGTTTCGGGCTTGGGGAATGAAGGAGTGGAGTTAGCATACCTTTTTATAGGACTTTCTTATACAACATTTCAATATTTATCAACAATTCAAAGGAAACGATATCTTCATTGCGTTAAATCGATATTACAAATATAATAGTGAGAAGCAATGAGTTGCGGTGTTGTCGATTTCTTGTCGAAACCATATTCACCTTTGGAAAATTTATCTGGCATTTATGTATGATTCGATGGGGAGGCTCGTATTATATAGTCACGTTTATACGTAACATTTTAAATATAGGTCATCACGTTTTGATGTATTTGTTAACTTACTTCATGATATTGAATAAGTCATAATTATTAACGGGAAAATGAATTCGTGACGATACATGCCAATAACTAGTAATTACCTTCATTTCGTTTATTTTTTATTTAATGTTAATATCAACAGTTTCAGTTTTTCAATATCCCTGATTTGTACCTTTTTCTTATTTTAAGTTGTATAAACATGATATCTTATTAGACAAGTTCAGTCATAAATTTTGAGGATTCAGTAAATTAATCTTGGAAATTGTTTAGCAGTTGTATTGTAACCATAGATTTCCTTCTTTCTAATTACATATTTTATGTAAGTGGTTTAAAACATGTCATGAATCAAGTTATTGAGGAGTATCTTACTTCAGAAGTACAATCGAATGTATATTAACAATGATTTCAAATATATTGTTATGAATACATTGACAAATCCGTTACTAATATTTCATTTGATGGATTTAAATACCTACCCCCTCCGTTACGGTAGCAAAGATACGGAAACCTCCATACATTGCCCAATCCAACACAGTAACCCACACAGGCTAATACGAACTCTACTTTCCCGGCCCATGCCTCTCGCTTGTCCTTATCCCCAGTGTTAGACACAGTTTCCACCACTAACTCGTTGTCATTAATAGTCAACCTCTCTACCTCGTGAGGTTGATTCATTTTTACGTTCATGTCTATGTTACTGTCGTTTAGGTAAGGAGCAGTCTACTGTACGCTGGCTGGTTGAGTGGGATGTTTTAACATTGTATTTCAAACTGGAACGTGTGAATGACTTGAGTGGTTTTTCAAATGAAAAATTAGTGACATTTAGGTTCACTCCAATGGAAAGTAATTCGCGATATAATTTTGGTGTTTTAGTAATTCATTTCTAAACATAGATTAATAAATTCGACTATCTATAATCCCACACTTTGACATAGTTCGAATAATATCACTGCATTGCCTTGTTATAGAGAATGCAATGACACCAATTTGCCTAAATTATGACAAATCACACTTGTCGCATGAATATATTACACGGACTTAACGGCCTGTCCTTACACACGTAGTCTGCATGGTTATAAGGTTTTTCATATTAGCCATGATTACCCTCAGAAGTTCAATGTGTGAACGACTGGCCGGACTTTTTTGCAACATTATAAAAGTGGCACACATCGCAGTTTTTCGCTGATCAAGATATACTTACATAAACATTGATAATATTTGGATACGATGTAACATTTAGAAATAATTCTACCATGTTGTTTTAGCATAGAATGCCTCCTCTTATATCAAACTGTTGGATTAATGTACCTCTTTATCTAGATGATCTTTGATATTTATCAGACCAATTTTCACATTCTTTAGTTACTTCAAGGGTTTCCACACTGACGAGACAAAGGAGGACACAACAGCAGCATGAACTCATCCATAATTCAGTATATGTCCATACCAGATCCAATTTTTTTATTCCTGTCTTTTGTACAATCATTTCTTTTTTAACACAAAATATGTATATTTGACTTAATCCTCTCGTCTGATTAGGCTAATCTATTGATAGTTTCATGTGAAGAGTTCGAGTGAAATGTCATATATATCGAATTAAATTATTATTATATAAATATGTTGGAAATCTACTGTCATTTAAAGTAGATCCAAAGTACAATACTGAAAAGTTTTGTCATACATATGAGATTCTACTTGCAATGTTCGTGTTGATCTCTTTGATCTAGATTTTAGCTAATATAAAATAATTCTATGTGCTTTGTGGCTGATATGCAGGAAATGAATTAAAATAAATAAGATACATACAAAGGTATAAAATGTTCATGAGTTTATAGTGTAACGTGGGAAGTTATATGTACGGTAGAGCACTGCACGTTCAAGAGGTATGAAAATGTCTAATAAGTTTTTCAGATTTCTTAAGTTTATAAGAAAAAGACGGAAGAGATTTATTAAGAAATACGTCGATATTTTGTGTAAGGCAACTTCCATAATTACTGTATTTTGCTAATCTATTCTTATAAATTGGTGTGTTTTCAAAGACAATTAATTCAATTATCAAGTCATTTGAAACACCGATTTCCCTATATGTTTTCGGCTTCGGTAATATTTAGAAATTAAAAGTTCTTAACAGATTATCAAATGAATGCTTCAGAAAATGTTATTGTACCTGAACATCAATCACCATTCCCTTCAATAGATTGATAAAAGATTGTACAAAGAAACACAAAGAATTAGCACCGTTCAATACAAATTCATAAATATATAGTATAGCCAAATAAATTGAACTATAATTTATGTGTGCTTTGTTTTATCTTTTCTACATGTTTCATATTACAAATATCAGATTTCCTAAAACGTGCAAGACCTGCTAATTTTGCATTCGAGGTGACATTATATATAATAGCATCAAATATGAAAAAACGTTTAAAAACCATACATTCATTGTTATAATGTATCTCAAATTCACAGCCATGTCATTTTCATTCAGTGACTTATACAAAGACACGTTTCAGAAAAGGGTCACAACTAGTAGAAGCCTGGTCAGTAGCATTTTTGCACTGTGGCGATCCTGTTTTATACGTTTTAGTATAGGCAATCGTATCTAAAAGCAAAATGTAGCAGTTATCATGAAAAGTACAAAATAAATCAATGATTGTTACTAACCTATTATGTCTGGTTTAATATATTACATTAACATCATCATATAAAATAGTAATAATAATAATAAGATCGAACAAATACTGTCACTGATATAAAAAGATTTCCTTAGCTGAGTACACTTTCAGATGACAAGTCTTGTGTTTAGTAATTTTATATATATTTGTGATTCAAACTGCATAAACATATACATCTGAGAGTTTTTTTCCAGATAAATGCAATGATTAAGCCTATGGTGTTATTAAAGGTCGCATCACAGTTCCGTTAAACTGTCAAGTTATTTTCGAGTTTAATTTTTACTGTTTTTGAATATGGAAGAAAATCGCGAAAAAAACATACCACGAAAAATAAAACGAACAGAGAAAAGATAAGCTCGTTTGATGTCTCACATGAAAAATTCTCCCTATTCCGCTCGTTTCTTTCGGTAAAACCAAGAAAACTTTATTCTTCGGGAAAACCCCACTTTCATCAGTACCTATTGTCTGGGGATATACAGACATGTGTTAATAACGATAAGATGCAAGTACTTTTATTTTTGCTGTAAGAATTGTACAGGAGAGGTGAAAAACATCTCGATACCAGTTCAATGTTTAAGATATTGAATTAAATTATGTTAACCATCAGTTTCGTCCCATGGATACCTCATGCGTACAAAGATGTCCGAAATATAGATCAGGAAGTGCAGTGTTGCGCCCTTGTAAAGATGTAACTTCTGATATGTTAAAACAAGATAGAAAAGATTAAATGCCACCGATTTCGTTAAACATATTTATGAAAAAGATGTATTCGGAATTTGAAAAAGAGATATATATTTTTCCCGAGTGATATAAACAATTAATTACCGATCAACTGGAACATTGGCTAAATTGATTGATATGGCATATCAGATAATTAATCTATATCATCCAGCTGCTGCACTGACCGTAAGTATTAAACATAAGGGATATTTCTATTGTACTACTTTTAAATATGTTATCGTATAGCTGGTAACTTTCATAGGTCAACATTTTCGCAAAATTGTTTCATCGCCGACCGAATAACATTTCAACAAATTTAAATTTCGCAATTTGAATCTAAAACGATGTTGATACATACATATCTCATTATTTAACGGATGAAATTTTCGCGGTCGTGTTAATGCAATATCTGTATGACTCTTTATAGTATTGTATCTACGTGAGCTTACCTCCTCCATTTTTATAACAGAGATAAGGAAATCTCCACACGTTTCCTAGCCCGACACACTGTCCAATACAAGACAGGATGAATTCTATTTTGTCGTTCCAAGTTTCACGGACATCACACGGATCCAATTTCACTTCCACCGGACGAGCGTTTGGGGTCAATGGCGACTGGCCGCTGGAATTAGCGGTAAGACCTGTTCTTTCATTATTGGCAGTTTGTTGCTGAGGTTCTTTCTCTTGCTGTGGTAAAGTAATTTTCTCGTTTTCCATACTGAAGATTAAGACTTAATAAAATAAAATAACATTACTCGAATATTAAATAAAAACACTGACTATGACGCGCGGTCATCAGATCCGCCAGGTAAATAAGAAATTATTAAAAATCAAACATGTAGCCACTGTTATCCAAACATCATCACTGCAGTGCGTCTTCTTTATCACAAAACGAATTCTTTCAAAGTGACACAATCCTATTTCAAATTAATATAACATTCCAGAAAATGTCACAATGTGTCAAAATGCTAGTAAAAAGAAATGCCAGAATTTATCCTTGAATTTTCTTGTTTCAAGTCCTAGTTCGATGATATTTACATAAATAAGTGCTTTTCTAGAAACCAATCTTATGCAGAGTGCAAAGAGTCCTATTCCTCCTGACGGCAATTCGACAAATGTATTTGTACAGAGGGATGTAGGTTATTAGATCAGAGAGTAAAGGTTCTAACGGTTTAATTCGTGACGTTATGAAACAGAATTGCATTGATAAACAGTTGTGGTCATATTTTATAAAATTGCTGTCAGGAACAGCCTTCGGTTATTATCGTCAAGCTCTTAATAAAGTCGCGGAAAAATCGGAGAGAATACCAATAAATCGTTCAAAAGAAGCCAAATTAATTCCTAGATTAACACGTCGCTCATTTCGATGTATCGAAATGTCATTTTGAGAAGTGGACTGTAGAGGAAAATCGCTTGCTATTACGGCAAAGGACTATTGACAGCTGTGTATCTAATTTGCAAGGTCTTGGCAGGCCGTCGTGGAACATACGTTTTACTGATTGAATCGTATAGAATTAAATACGTGCAAAATCCGAAACTTGACAAACGCCACTTCTAGGTTGCATAAATTGTCACCAATATTCTGCAAGCCAGCAAAAACTTTTTTAATCAAATTCGAAGATGTCTGTAGCTCACTTAAATATGTGTACGTGTTCCTTATTTGTTTTACTCCATACCAGAAAGTAATAATGGATTCTGATCTATTACATTAAATCTGTCAAGCATATATTTACATGTAGAATTCTGTTTTCAAGATATCGTGGTGCATCTAGTGGAAATTTATGAAAAACGCCTTATTTCGTATGCTTACATGTCTTCTACTGGTTGCATTTTTAAAATTAGGAAATAAAAACAGTATTATTGAGTAATATATAAAAAGCTTTAAAAGTACAAATGTACTTGTTTTAAAATATTTAATTGTATCCACTGCATTCTATGTTTATTATGTGTTCGTTTGCAATACTCAAAAGAATATTTAAATAGGGATATTAATACGGTGGTTTTACTATTAACCCAGTAACACAAGGTCTCTAAGAGCGGAATTAAAATATGTGATTATCAATGACACATTCTACTCAACATAGCAATTATGCAAAGTCACACTAATAATGCACTAAATGTGGCTTATTTCTTAACTATTACGTGTGAGAATTTTGGTTTATTCCTTTTCCTTGTCCTTGAGCTCTAGGTTTTTTTTCTGATTACAAATACATTAAGTAGGAACATAAGATTTTTGTGTTGGGCAACATATTAACCACAACACTCAAATGCAGATATAAACATTTAAAAAAAAATTAAACATGGATGTTGATATTGAATTTGCAAAGCAGTTTAAAGCCCGTGACGCGTATGATAACCTTCTATCCTTCATTATGTCTTTTATCAAACCTATGTTTATAATGTATACCACCAAGCAAGACCTGTTTTAGTCTTCACAACAGACATGCAGCACATTTTGGTCTGTCGTAGTGAACTTACAGATATAGACAAAATATAGTTTCTGGTAGAACAAAGATTTTCCGATACCAACGATATAAAGGAGAAAGAATATAAGAATACTTCTTGGCTTATTAAGATCTAGATCGCATTCGCGAAGCAATGTCATTCGGTTTAATGATCACAATCGCAACGAAGCCGATTATAACAGGATTTGGATATTTTCCTGTTTCCTGGTCCTTACACTGATTGCCATTGAACATGGTCAGATGGAATGCCGTTATCCGAGGAAGCACGTCATAGTGTTACAAAATGATCAAACTAATCAATTAAACAATTAAAAGTAAGAATGGCTTTTAAGATACTTCCTTCAGCAGACTCAAGAATAACATGTTTTAGCGAGCGTATCTAAGTATCCTTCTAGCATCACCCAATACGTGGACATGCTGATATTTTTTATTGTCAATATCTCTCCAATTTTCCTAGAGCTTTTGCCTTTAATTGTCTTTGAAGATTGCCTGTTGGTTTCATTGGTGTATAACTTGTTCTCATTTGAGATCTTGATATTTTGGATTGACCAAGATTTACATGGGGGTGCCGAAGATGAAGCAGATGACGCTTACTCTTCCAGAAAACCTGGTCTTATTCTCCTCCTACTTTTTTCAGGTAATCTGACCCGAAGGGACACTAGGGACCTGGGGGCGGTCCACAAACGGGAAAGTAAGTCAATCATTTTGCTTCAAAATGCTACTCTTTCTTAGTATTTGAACGATTTTAAACCAAATGTTGTCTGAAGTATCATTATGGGTAGGGAATCATTTCTTGAATTCAGAAAACTGATTCGGCCACTAGGGACTTCGGGATGGGCCCCAAATGAGGAATTTAATTGATAATTTGCTTCAAAACGGCACTCTTTCTGAATGCTTAAATGGATTTCATTCAAAGTTTGTCAGGAACATAAGTAGAGGTGGTAAATTAATTCTTAAATTCAGAAAGTTGATATGACTTCCAGGGACGGGGCTCCAGGAGGGGAAATTAGACAATATTTTGCTTCATAACGCTTCTCCTTTTAATACCTGGGAAAATTTTATATTTGATCTGAAATATTATTGTAGGTGAATTATCACTTCTTAAATTCAGAAAATTGATTCCACCCCAAGGGATCTGGGAGGCGGGGTCCTAAATGGGGAAGTTAGGCAATGCTTTGCTATTCTTCCTTAATGCTTGAATGGATTTATGTCAAATGTGATCTGAAACATCATCGTGGGAATTCGTCAAATTTGTCAGACCACCATCTGCAAATTCCTTGGTTTGTCCATCCACTCATCGATTGTCGTGGCCCTCTTGTTTTATTATTTTAATTTATTGAATTCGATTTTGATAATGCCCACATGTTGATGTTGTCTAGATTTGTTCTTATTTTTCAAAGAAAAATCCATCCTTTTAATTGTCGTCTTTCTCTTAAAAGAGTGAATGGTAATTCATCAGAGCTTTATCCTCAGAGTTGCATATTTTAAAATCATCCTCTGTTGCCTTGCATGAAAATATTACGGCAAATTTTACGAAACTGGGACCCCTAAATCTGAACCTAGTGAGTTACCATTGGGCAATCCGATCTTCTATGGCATTATTTAAGACGTCGCTACTGCTATTTTCACGATTTAATCTTATTTCAATTTCAGTATTTGACAAATCAGTTTTAATACTTGATCAATTCTGATTTTATTTTTTCTCTATTACTGAATAAGAAAGTAAAACCAAATCCTCAAATATTGTGATTGTGTGGTCAACATGAATAATGAAATATTGCAGACAAATGCAATGTCACAATGATTTCCACATATTGCTTTCGTGAGTTTATACACGATAGACTAAGAAACCCTTGGTCGATCCAAACTGTTCCTAATTAGTGTTTACCTAGGGTATTGTAATGTGTTTTTGATAATATACAATGTTATACTTAGTACACTTTGAAAGGTAGTGTTGCGCCTACCCAATGAACGAAGAGCCTACCACAGGCAATCTAGCATTGACCTTAAAACGGATTACATTTTCAATGAGGAAACTATTGCATTACTTTTCCTACGGAACATGCAATCATTTAAACAGGTGCTACTTGATAAGAAGTATAGCTGACATAACTGTAAGTTACTATTTGGAAAATCAATTAGTTTTATGGTTGATTGCAATTGTATTCATATTCCCGACCCGTCCATATTGTAAAGCGGAACGAAGTAACAGCCAAGCTTCCGGTCCAAAATGTGCCAGGTCATCAAATCAAGAAATACGTCAAACAAGATTTTGATGACAATATCAATATATTTTTTAAAAAATGTTTAGACTGAACCAACTGCTTCTGATCTTTCGGCGTGAGGTTATAGTTGTATTGTCAGGATTCCTCTTTTCACGGATATAAACGCAGACTAGATTGCTCATAAACGAAACACATTTGAACGAGAAATCGTCGTTGCTTAGGCATTAATTGTCGTTGTGGTGTGTCTTTTATATGTATATGAACGTGTAGTTAAAGATACATTGTTTTTCCATAGACTTATTTGCGAAAAGTGTATTAAACTAATGTCTTGTTGACAAACCTGAGTACAGTTCCAGTTTTGAAATATGCCTTTCGATAAAACCATATACATCCAAATCAAAGTAAAAGACACTATTTGCCCGCCAGCAAGACATTTCAAAGTATTATGTTGTTTGTCTACATGTCCCTGCACCTGTAGCCCGAACGTTATCCAGTCCAACGCACCTGATTCCACTGGTTGGTTACTATAGGTGTAATATGAATATGACAATGTGAATCAATTGCTGATTTATTGGATTCTAATGTACTTTGCTACTTATGGTCGCCTTGGACATTCTGGTGTTCTCTTCTGCTGTACATGTGATCAGCAAGGAAAGCATTGTGCTATTACAGCCTTTAAGTACGTACTTAGGTTTCGCAACTATTGTATTATTTTTCATCCCGGAATACTAAGCGGATTGCGGTTAGCCTTCTCTATCGAATGGGAGTAGCAACGGTAACCATTGTCTGATCTGTTATCATAAAATTTATTATGTTATCACTAATAAGTACGTATATAAATACTGTCGCTCTACAAATGCTGTTAATATGTAGATAGTAAATGTATTCACACTGCCAGTGTAGTTATGAACCTTCATTTCAAATTAATGTTGTAATCCCTCCACGGTTGATCTTGATATTTTCTCATTATCTGATTTCTGCAGGAATATCCAAGATTGCCCTCGCATCACCGGGTGTGCAACGCTTCAGCTTGATATCCCTAAGAGTATTATTCACCTCCGCTTTCCTGTGGTGGTCCCAAGACAACTGAAGTTCCAAGTTCTTTTTCAGGTCATCATCGGAAGGATACGGATATGTCTACAATGAAAATGTAAAATATATCTGTTCCGTTTTTCTTGGATTCTTTACTCATATTAGGGGCCAAGAGTATGAAAATCTAGAAAGGAATTCAGGTTCATCATCAAGTGGCTTAAAACCATTAAAATAGGAGATTAATGATTTTATCAATCTCGTTAATTCAAGTATTTCATTATGGTAGAACATAATGCGAGTGTAATATTCTAGGATAATATGGATGTTCTCAGTAAATTCAAAGACTTCTAGGATACGAAAAGCATATGTACATTAACAATGATCGGTCGTAAATAATAACAATATACTGAAAATCAAATGAGGAGAATCAATTAAGTGCTGACAACTACTTCAAATGCATTTACATTAAGGAAATTTGATACGTGGGTTGGTACTGTCCATGATAAATAAAACTATGTTTTTTCAATATTATCAGATATAAGTCTGTTTACTTAAGCATACCCTCTCTTTCAACCTGACTAGCATGTCATTGTTGACATATTCTTGGAAGAACTTCTTATTAATCATCATGACCTCCACGCCATTGCTGACAAGACTGAAACCTGGCTGATTGTCAAACACCAACTCCTCCACTCCCTGTAAAACAGAGACGTCATAATTATAATATTTTTAACACAAGATGACATCTTTAGGTAGTATGTAAATATACCGACAGTTTTCTATTCTAGACACTTTATGGAGTTTAATTGCAATGCAGTATGGTATATTGTGGAGATACTTACGAAAGACATTCCTTTCTGTAGAATTCTTACTTCAATAAATGTCGGTGGGTCTTCCGCTGGTGCCGGCGGCATACTCTGTGAAAAAATTAATAGCTTCTGACTTGATATGTTAAACATCCGTAATAGCGACCAAATTCCAAATAAGGTAGTATGACACCGCATTTAAATCATCAGTAGTAAGTACATTAAAAAATAACACAGAGAAACTAAATTCAAAAGCGAAATCGATTAATTAAGAAAAACAATTAAAGGTTATCTTTGAAAAGGTTCCATGTGATTCGGAAGGATACGCATCTTCTGCTTCAGTGATGAATGAAAAATCCATAAAAAGGATCGATACTCATTGACGTAGACGAGGAACCTTTAACCAATTAATCTATTGAGAAAGATTGATTGTCGTTGATCCGTTACACTGTAGTCAACATTAAAAACGAAAAGACGTTGCAATGATGACGTTTGTCTGTGCTGAAACGGTAGCACTGATATCCTTGAAAGACTGAGGACTGGACAACATCGTTAAAAAGAGAAAAAAAGGCAGACAAACAAAACATTCTCTTCTATTGCAATAGAATTTAAATGCAATTATTAACAAAGATAAATAAAGAGGAGATTTCCTATATGCAATGAACCAGAGTGTTCGACATTTTATTTAGTTTATATTTCTGTTTGGTATCTACGTGACTATAAGGTTTGAGTTAACAATGATATTCCGTTTACTTACATCTGGTGTGTCCGATCTGATGGTCACCTGCTTCCTCTTCCGCTCTACCTCGGTCTCAAAATCGTCCGCATATGTCGTTGTAGATTGCGGACGGTGACCTGAGAGATTCACATATATAAAATATTGTGTTATTTCTATTTCAATAAAGCTGCATTTGTTTCGCTTTTGGTTTTTGTTTTTTTGTTTATGTTTTTTTGTTTTTTTGTTTTTTTTGTTTTTGTTTGTTTGTTTTTTTTTTTTGTATTTTTCTTTGGTCTTTTTACATATAAAAAGAAATGAAGTAGGTGTATCCTAATTTGAATCTCAAATCCCAAAAATGTGATATTTACCGTCATCAGAAATCAGTTGCTTGGGCTTCAGGTAAGGACCCTACAACAAACATGCGAATAAGTTTCAAATTCTGTAACTATATAGTGTTCAATTGATATTGAATGTTATCAAAATTTGCTAACAGTTATCATTTTTTTTTTATGAAAACTTCCCGTTCATATTTTAGATGTTTACCTTTGCGACCAAATTGTGTAGATTGGCCATGGATTTTTTCCGGAAATTTTTAACCTCCTCTTGTGCATGTTCTCTGTATTTAGACTCGGCCTCAGTCACCACGGATTCTGTGTCGCCACCATGCATAGACATTGCTCCTAAGTTACCTAACGCTCGCGTAACGCTATTCTGGTTGATATGCTGGCAAGAAAAAGACAGAGTAAAGATGATAAAAGTTTTGTTTTCTGTCATCCGTGCATTCTCAAAATAATAATGATGATAATTTGTACTACAACAAAATGATAAACGGAAAATATTTGTTTCCAATCCCAATTATGCCTTTAATCAAAAGTATGATATCGTTTGTAGAGAAAATAAATTAAATGAAATCAACGTAAGAATATACCTCAAAGTGCAGTTTCCTTAATTCTTGATAGGCTGCATTAGTAGCAATGTTTATTTCAGGCAGGGCATAAAAGCGGAAGTAGAGATTTTTCTGCTCAAGTCGTTTAATTTCATCTTCCCGTAAAAGTGTTATCTGATCTTCATGTGATATCACACTGTCATTCTTTGCTGCCGCAACCACTTCAAACATAGATTACACGATTTTGTCTTATATACAAGATATATATGTATTTAAGCCTGCATTAATTTCCTAATTTATTGCAACTTATACACGTTAATTCTTACATTTTTATGTTCTTATTGCTAGGCTTGACTGACTATGTATAAACTTCAACATTATGCATTTTCGCTTCGCTGAGTTTTATTCTGTAATCCACACATACACATTTATCCTCTAATGATCAATGAAATTTTCGAGTATCTCTCCTATACTATTATATAATGCAAAAAATGTACATTGCACATGATTGTCATTATTACTCTGACAACTGACAAGTTGTTAACGATATATCATTAACCGAATGGCCTGTTGCCTATTGGAGATACTGTTATATAAATCCGATGTCCGTTATTAATATGCAATAAAACCAACAATATCCCCTTTTTAAAACAAACACATAAAGCACATTTAGATACAAGTCGGAAAGGTAAATCAATCTATGTTGAAGGACCAGAATGGAAATACAGAAAGCCACAGACATTTTGAAAAGCAGATTAGTTTACCCGCAGTGTGATCCGAAAGTTAACCTGATGAGACGTACAATAACAAATTTCACAACATCACCAAACTAACAACTAATCACAGTCCGGCGGACGGGACTTCTAACAGTAACCTGTGTGAGAATTGTCCAACGTCGCAATAAAAAAGATCCTCCTTTTATCGATAATAAGAGTAGGTGCTTAACGCCGCCCAGGAGCCCGAATAAGCCAAAATTTAACAAAACATTCGGCCTAATGTCATTTTCATTCTATTAGGAAAGGACTACTAAATTTCCCATAACCAACATTAAAAATCATAGACAACCTGGAGATTCGTCAGGACAGAAGACATGGACCCCCTCCACCGCCGGAAGTCCAGACACATCACCACAAGATTGTAGACCAGGGAGTCCTCTCCAAATCACAGAACAGTCAACTCCCAGACGACTCCAACCCATGAAGGGAGCCCCCCCTCCCCCCTCATGTCGCCTGAGAATCGACACACGTCGATTTGACTCTGCTCGGAGACAGGCACAGTCAAGGAGATAAGAAACCTTCATCATCATCATCATCATCATATCAATAAACTCCAACATATCAAGAACTTTAAGACTAACAGGACATAGAAGTTAACGACAAAATTTTATTACTTAATCCTCAACAAAGACGAGTGATTGTCAAATTACAAGACAGTGCATTTTGTTACGAAAGCTACGTACATTTCTCTCTGTACTCCAGAGCTCGTGTAGGTCTTCTGTACTTTCTTGCATTCACGTTTTCCAACTTTTTGAATATACTGCAGCTTCCCTAAACACCGAAATATTATTTTAGAAACCCAGTAAAGATGTCAACATTTTTTCTATAAGTCATTTGATCGCATATATTAAAATATGTCAGGACTTCATAGAGTAAAATATCTTTATAAAGCGTTGTGCAACAAGACTACATCATACATAAACTGTGTAATATATATATGAAAAATGATCTGAAATGTGTAAAAAAAATTAGATAAATAAAAAACAAAAACAAAAAGACACGAGTTAATATTCTTTTTATATACACGCGGTATATAATGTTATCATTATATAAACCTGAGAAAGTAGTAGATTCTTGATAATGTGTTCCAACAAGAAGGAAACCTTATATTAATGAGACAGTAATTAAAAGAAACAGAAACTTACCGACTTGACCACAAACAGCCATTCACTGTCTTTACTGTCTGGTACAAGGATCGTCCCACGCCTAGGAATGTATAGTTTAACGTCATAATATGAATTGAATCGATAAATCTATGTTTTTTAATAACGAGTCTGTATTTTTCTAGTTCTGTTGATTAATTGAACACTCTCCTTGGTTAACTTTAATAAATCTAACCATGATATACCAAAGTTGATGTTTTGTTGTGAGAAGTAACTTCACCTAAAGCCTCTCTTGAAACCTGGATGTAAAGTCTCCAACAATATCTAAGTGTAACATTTCTGTGAAATCTCCCCTAACATTATACTAAATTCTACTTTGAAACGATCTCTTCTGTGTTATAAATATATTAATAGTCAACATCTATACCAGAGCAACCTAGATATAAGAAACATTGGTGAGTTAAGGTGGAATGTTACTATCGGGAGGAGGAAAGTTTACTGTAAAAATACAATCATCACGATAGCTATACAACTCACAGTTGCGAAAGACTTAAATATCTAACAAATCTTAGCGATGATATCTTACTTGAAATAGCTCAGTATTGCTTTCTTCGGGTGTTCAGCAAGTTTTTCGATCGGCCAGTCTTCCAGAAATGGTATAGATCTGAAAAAGGGAAATTGAAGATTATGTATGTGTCAATAGGTTATATAGACATAATTCAACATTTGTAAACACTGCGCGTGTAGTTCGATTTTGTCAATACCTTAGGAAGGGATCATTAGGATCTTGAAGGCCACCAGACATGAAGATGTCAACAAAATCCTACAAATATATAACACACGTTTCACGTTAGTTGTTCGTATCTACATTTTTGTTTCATATATACATTCTATGGCGTACTTAATAAAATTGTTCGTTTATATTATAAGTCTAATTCTTCGGGTGGTGCCGTGGTAACGTATTCTTCTTTCATCCATCCGTCCGGGGTTCGATTCCCGGAATGGACTTGAAAAAGGTATGGGGTCACCTGCCCGACCACGTGGGTTTCCCCTGGCACTCCACAGTCAGATAAATGAAGTTGATTTATTATTCATTATTCCATGAGGTAATTGACTAAGAATTTATTTTCTAGTGATGTAAAAAAAAAGAAAAAAAATCCTGACATTATAGTATAACTGCTTATTCCATGATAAATATACATTGCATAAAACAAATATAAAGTAGCAAATCAAAATAAGTAGAACTGAAAAGATAAATCGGACGAGGCCAATACGTTACATAGCTGATTTTATTTACCGTGTCTCCCATCACAAGAAGTTCTATCTTTTCTCGTGAGATGACAGTAGTTTGTCGTAAGGACTGCGTTATAATCGCTTGTTCCCCAAAGCTGTCACCACGGTTCAGAAAAAGCACTGTCTTTGCTTGCTTGGTCTTAGAATCCAACATCGAGACGACAGCTGTTAACACAAACCAGCACGGAGACTCATTCTCATTATCAGGCTACTATAAATTCAAATCGGAAACCGAGACACTCATTCTCAGCAGATGTCCATACAAACGGACATATATACAATAAAACATTTAAAGATTTGTTAATCGTCTCATACTCGGTCATATATCAATGTTTTAAGCATCTATGGATAGATCTTCAGTATGTAAAACAACAAATCTAGTTGGATCAGTATAAACCTGAAGTTAATTGACATCTTTGTCCACAGCTTCCACAAGCCAATGCTGCCGTTACAACGCCATGCAACCTGGTGAGCAACGCAATATTGTTGCTAGAATGCACTGTTACTGTTTCCGATAGAATCACATTTATATGAATATGGATAAAAAACAAAAAAAAAAAAAAAAAAAAACAAGAAAGAAAATACAATATGAACAGAATCACAATAAAATCTCAAATTCAATAAAACCAGGGGAACATTATGACAAAAGAAAAATTAACAACATTTCAAAAGAAAGAGACTTATGAAAATGTACACAGAGAACAGGACCAGGTGTTCCGGAAGAATAGGCGACCTTTGCTTCATCCTCGACATCCGCAATGTAAATCTTGGTTAATCCAAATAAGAACGTTCCCAAATCAGAGCAAGGTATACAAAACAGAGTCAGCATCCAAACTATTAAGCATCAAACACATTCAGCTTAATATCGCTCAAAGATATATCACTATGACAACCGCAAATCATAATTTTCATCAATCTGCATCTCTCGAAACCCTGTAACGTGAGTTTGTCGCTTAACGATATCTGACACGGAAATCGTGATATTGGGAACTGGCCTTAAATATCGAATCAACTGCGACCAAATAACATTGATCCATAAATTAAATGAAATACGGAGATTTGGTTCATCAAGCAGTTCTTGCCGAGAATAACTGTAACAGCCAATTAACACTTCAACTCATGTAATCACAACATCCGCTCTACAGGAAGAGATCAGTGTGCTTCACACTGAATCGATCGAAAAGGAGAATGAAAGTAGGTATTTTGTTTTGAAACGCAACAGCAAATAAATTTCAGGAAATATTGTTATTCAGGTACATAAACGGCAGATTGAAAGCGTTTCTAATCGAGGTTGGTCCGAATGCACGACTTTTTTTTTAAATGAGTTAGCTAAATGCTCCTGAACATTAATATATACGTGCATTATGCAATCATTGAAAAAAGATAATGAGTCATACATCCTTTCAGAAGATATTTAGTTAAGCGCTGAATCATTTTGAAACTTAACTCTGTGATCATATAACGTTCAAATTCGCGGTACTCTTGACCACATGCATTATGGTATTGGATAAGTAAGTGTGTTTGTATTCAGTTTCAGGCAGGTCGAAAAACGTAGTAATATTCCTCCGAAATGTTCCGCTTAATTTTTTCCATGAATGTTATTGCAAAGCTAATTAGTTCAGACAAAGGGAGAACTATCCTTACAACAAAAAGGCGACAGTTAACTTTCCTTGAAGAATAGATAAACTGACAAAAACATCAAATTTATCCACAAAGTCAGATCCTCACTGCAAATATATAACTTTCAATTACTGCTCAAGCAAATCGTATTTTGATATTTGTGATGGTAATTCATAATTATAACTTCACAATTGCGACATTCTCTACATATCATATGAGTATTGACATATCGTTTCCCAATATTTCAACGAAAAATATGAAGCACAGTATAATTATCATTAAACATTGATAAAGGCCATGACGATGATTATATAACAGTTTTGAGCTTTGTAGAAAACCATATTATTTTGTCGTCGATAATCGATTCAATTTAAGTGATTCGTTGACTTATTGTTGTCATTTATAACCCATTCCAACAAAAAAAAAAAAAAAAAAACAGTCAGTTGGCACATTCGCCCCATAGCACAGCATTTATAATCAATTTATTAGAAATAGGGTCAGCTGATCATCATTATGTTTCATGAACGTCATCTACATTATTGTATGTGAAAAAATGATAGGGTAATATTTGCATTTCCGATTTACATTCCTTATTTGGCCTTACCAACAAAATTGATGTTTACACTTCGGTAAACGTAACGTGTGACGCGTAAGAAGCCGGATCGCTGTACGCTTGCGAGAAAAATTAGTGTGAATCCGCTATTACGTTTGTTGGATTATTTTTAATTTTGAGAATTTATTTTGTATGAAATAGAAAACTCAAAGCAATGTGTGAATGAAAATGTTAATTTTCCAAAACATCTCACAAAAATGTAATAAAAAGATGATGTTATGGTGGAACTAATTTCTGTTTGCTTCCTGTAATAGACAAAATTGGAATAAGCTGTTTACCATCAGTTGTCGTGCTGTCCTGTCAGTGCGTATAACGTGCAATGAACGATGATTTCTTAATTCTAAGTAGCATAAATAAAGCAACAAATGCTTTTGAAATATCAATGAAAGAAATATTTTCTTGTTTACTGGTGTGTACACTGCATTTTCAACATGAAGCTAACGCGCGGCATTTCAATTATCTGTAAAAAAAAAAGAAGTCATTTGGGCAATGGCGTCAATAACGTTGTCGAAAAACAATTCCCTGGAGTATCAGGGACGGTCGATTCGCTTCCTTACTAAAGCGTTATTTATAATCAATTCCTTGGAATATCAAGGTCAGTGGGGTCAAGGACGTCATGGAAAGAATACTTTACAGGTGAACTAGAAGAAATTATGGAATTATTGTTTTACCACAGATAAGATTTAAAGTATTAAATGTTACACAACTATACCAATATGATATGTCTTACTTGTAAATGCTGGCTGTGTAATAAATGATACGAAAACGAGTATACAGTTAAAGGCTGTGGCATAATTACCTGCACCAGTCAGTATGAAGTAAAACCCACGAGCGATGTGACCCTCTCTTATGATAACTCGTTTTGCGTCGTATCTGGTGACAAAGATTCACAATAAATTTTAGAGTGCAATATATGTAAAACAATGTTACAGATATTAAAATAATGTTTTATAAATGTCATCGGTACTATAATGGGTATAAGTGATTATATTTCTAAAGCATTGCTATTAATAGTAATCTGGGACATAAACTCTTCGTCCTTGTGTAAATGGTGTATATATAGGTGTGTGTCAATCATTGATAGGACTTCGATAATGTAATAAGAAGACTATTTAGGATCTTTTGTAACCAAAAAAGATTTTTTTACATTCGTGACATGTGTTAACATGTTAATTTGTACGTAATACTCACGACTCAAGCCAGCCCCTTTGTGCGATGAGTTTTTGCATCCTCACTGGGTACTCAGCTATGGATTTGTAGTTCCTTAGTGCTGTCTGTAACTATACCACAACACAATCACTCGTCATACAGCGTAAAACCTTCAGATCAAAGCTTAGTTTTCATTATATCCAAGATACTTTTAATCAGGAACAAATGTTTTTTATGAATTAAACAATTTGCTAAAAGCTTCAATCATCACTATCTTTTCCACTGATGATATAACTTGCCAACTTCACGTAATTTCAGCAGTTTTCTTGTGCGGAAACCTCGTTCATTTCCCCATTTGTTTTTCCCATTTTAAGTGTATGACAAAACGGTTAAATATCCTATATTTACTAAACATGGTTTATTTTAACAATGTCTATACCATACTCCAATTTGGCAAATACATTTTCGTCCTATTTAAGTCTATGGTAAATGGTAACCTTTGACCTTTATTCTTGACCGATTGCAGTAGACCTTATTGGTGTGATGGCATGGCGTTAACATGAACAAAATCTGTCCATGGGTTCATGGTTCATGAAATATGTTGTTCCCGACGACATTGCGGACGCACGGACGTACTCACAAAGTGATTAATATACCCCATTAATAAGTATGTAAGGATATGATAATACATTTTCCTGGTTATTATCACGAAATAGATCAATATCTTGATTGTGGAATACCACAAGCGACGTTCCGTAAGTATATTAGGTAACCCCTAATCCATGAGGCGATTAAAGGAATTAGAGACATATGTAATAGAGTATCCTTGTTTAGGACAAATTGAAGAATGTCGAAGTTCCTTGTTTACCAACTACACAATTCCTCAAATAACCCAATTATCATTGATAAAATGTAAAATACCAAATATTGAAATTATAAGAATTACTCTCTCCGGGTTTGTGTTGTTTCTGTGTTTTTTGTATATGGTTATATGTTTGTAAATCGTCTATGTGTTGTTTGCTTTAACCAATGAGTCACACGACTCAAGGTAATAAAGAACTTGAGAACTTGAGAACTTGGATATCATTTTGATTTAACAGAGACAAACACCGGATACATTAACTATTTTCCTGTTTAATATTTTCCGTCTTATTTTCGATCATGTGATTTTTCGTTTCTGTGATCTTATTTATGTTTTACTTACATAGTGGATCTCGTCCTCTTTCCTTTCTTTAGGTCGTTTCTCAAGTATTCTTCTTGTTTCGTTCGACACACTGGACTGGTGGGCGAGACAAAATTTAAATGATAATATGATATAAATTGATAATGAGTATCTCTTTATATTCAAAATGTCTATTACGTATCACATCAAGCTGTCTCTCTTATATCATGTATGAAACCAAATATAATTCCAAATACGTTTTGTTCATATTTCACAGTTTTTACTTAATATCTTGCATATTTTATCAATAATTTCCTCAATATTGATAGATCATATACTTAAACTAAAACACATTTTAAAAATAAATCAATAAACAGGTACAAATCAAATCTAATCAAGAAATATACATATTCACACAAAAAGCATAACCAAAGACTGAAGAAAACGATATAAGTTTAAATATTCTAAGCATTGCTATTTTGATTGCATGTTACGTTTACCCACTCCGGATTCTCACTGAGGTTATTTGATTGTAAATATGAATGAGGAATTGGGTGTTTTATTGAAGGTGCTATATCGTCGTTTTATAATCCAAATACTTAAGGCCGTTTTTATTAATTTACTTATTTATGTTTTGAAATTGTAAGTGTAAGTTCCCGATGACTAGTTTGCATATTAGAGAGTCAATGGATCGCCTGTTACTTCCTTAGATACAAGTTTTAATCCCTTTATCTCTCAAGTCAAATGAAATTAATTTTATGATTTTGTATTTTCAACAATGGAACTTAAAAGTAGCAGGAAAGTCTGGTATTTACGTCAATTCAACGTCCATTGTCGATAGCATGTATTTCGGTCTTCAGATCACTATATCACTTCCATGATATATTCATCACAATAGTGAACGTATGTTCACCCGTGTGTAATTCTCACAGTACGTTATGTCCATCTGTAATTACAATGTATGTCCATCTGTGTGTTGAAATGTATAGTATGCTCACAATATGTTTAATTTTCACACGTCTCTATCTAAGCATTGTTCCAGCTCTTCTGACTCCAACACTACACTGTAAGAAGTTACGGCATAGGAATGTATGGAGCTCCGTAAAGGTTTTTGTCTATCGTGATATCACGACCATCATAATAAAAGGTCTTAAGCAATATTTATATACTGAGCTGTCTCATTTATTTTAAGAAAAAAAATCGCCAGAGTAAGCCCAAGACCAAATGTTATCAAACAACTGTCCACGCGACAAACGGTGAATGTTTTTTTCTTGTCTACAGTCTAGTCACTGATTGAAACGAAACCTATCGCCTGTTATAAGTGTATTAACCTGTACGCGGATGGCTCTCGATCCCGTGGCATGTCGTGTTGCGTACAAAACCCCGTCTCATCGATTGTTTACAAATTTCGTGTCAGATATCGCTGATGCTGCAGGCGTGAGACTGATTTACTTTGCGTGCAACAAGCATAATGTGCTGTTTCTAGCCTTCTGTTGTTCATACAAATGTCTGGACATAAATTCGAGTTAAAGATAAGATCTTATAATTGAATTTTACTTTTGAAACCGTCGGAAGTTAAAGTCCGTGAATTATGGAAAACATTTATCATATTTTCCCATTCGTTTAAAATACATCCTGTTCGTAAAACGATGTTGTAACGTAAACGTGATGTGTTTCTGTCTTGACGTCCCTCCCGCGGTAACTAAATCAAAGCAATATCATTGATAGAACTTTTCAACATTTACAAAAACTCTTCCGTTCTAATTAAATCAACTGATGAATCTACCTGTTTTGATGCCTTGAATTCGGTGATGTCAAACAGCAGGTTAGAGGCCCCTGCTGTATTTGTCATGGCATCCAGCGTGTCGAATTTTCCGAGTATTTCACCAACTCTGTAACCAGGAAAGTCAAATAATAGCTACATGCTTGGGGGAAATTAAATGTAGATGAATATTTCTGTGGAATAAAGGATTTTTGTAGGGAAAAAAGAACTATAAAGGATTCTGTTGATCACACGATTTAGAACAATTAGAATAAACTACAGATTCACTAAAATGGAGGTGTCACAAGTAAAAATTACAAGTTTCGTGATGTGAAAAATCACAAAGAATAAAGCTACGCCATCAAGACAAAAACAAAATGTTTAAGTTGCTACCAAAAGAAAATAGTAATATAATAAAAGACTGTGCTTGTCGAATATTCTATTCTCTAGTACAAGTGAAATAGGAATACATTCAGAAATAGGGATAACAAATTTTTAAAATATTCGAAAAAAAAACAACATCTGGACATCGTTTCATTATGTCGGTCAGGGGGTTAAAATTACGGCTCCGACAGGAGGTTTCTTTTGTGACAAAAACATTTTTGACAAATGATTAATTTAGAGTTAGCAGTTCTAAAAGCATATCATTCCCTAAGGATATAGGTGTACAATATAGATATATAAAACATACGATTGTGAGTGAATTCTCCAGGCTCGTAAAAGTACAACAAGAAATCTGGCTAGGCTTCTAAACCTTTGATATGGCCTCCCCTGAAAATTAAACAAGACATTTTGTTTAAATTTACAATATGGAATCATTAAGCTTAGTATAATATATAGTGGTAAACTGTCCCTATCGGTGACGTTGTAACACAAGGTCCGAGTTGTCTGACATTTTAACCAGAGTTTGTAGTGTCCATCCTTAAATTCATGAGTCTAAGGGGAAATCTGATCAACTTTGGCAATGAATGTCGTACTATTAATATATAGAGTGTATCTATAAATAGAACTAAAGACGTGCGGTTATGTTTATGACCCCTATTCTGACAAACTCGACGATTAAGAATGCGAGACCTAGTTCAATAGTGATTTGTCGGCATCCCTTCGCTTTGGTTTCTCGAAATGAAGTATTTCTGGAGTTTAAAAAAAGATGAAATCGTTTCAGTAAATGTGAATTTAATAATTTTTAACTTATTATCTTAGGGGAAATCCCTTGAAGTAACAGCAAATACATCACACTGGTTCTACACTTCATATGTTCAAGTTGATCAATTTACCAAACCGCACACATGTAATCATGTTATCCTTCAACATCAGTGATATTAGTCTGTCTGTCCTACAGTTGTGTATGACATCAGTGATATCAGTCTGTCTGTCCTACAGTTGTGTATGACATCAGTGATATTAGTCTGTCTGTCCTACAGTTGTGTATGACATCAGTGATATCAGTCTGTCTGTCCTACAGTTGTGTATGACATCAGTGATATCAGTCTGTCTGTCCTACAGTTGTGTATGATATCAGTGATATCAGTCTGTCTGTCCTACAGTTGTGTATGACATCAGTGATATCAGTCTGTCTGTCCTACAGTTGTGTATGACATCAGTGATATTAGTCTGTATGTCCTACAGTTGTGTATGACATCCGTGATATTAGTCTGTCTGTCCTACAGTTGTATATGACATCAGTGATATCAGTCTGTCTGTCCTATAGTTGTGTATGACATCAGTGATATCAGTCTATATGTCCTACAGTTGTATATGACATCAGTGAAATTAGTCTGTCTGTCCTACAGTTGTGTCTGACATCAGTGATATCAGTCTGTCTGTCCTACAGTTGTGTATGACATCAGTGATATTAGTCTGTCTGTCCTATAGTTGTGTATGACATCAGTGATATTAGTCTGTCTGTCCTACAGTTGTGTATGACATCAGTGATATTAGTCTGTCCGTCCTACAGTTGTGTATGACATCAGTGATATTAGTCTGTCTGTCCTACAGTTGTGTATGACATCAGTGATATTAGTCTGTCTGTCCTACAGTTGTGTATGACATCAGTGATATTAGTCTGTCTGTCCTACAGTTGTGTATGACATCAGTGATATTAGTCTGTCTGTCCTACAGTTGTGTATGACATCAGTGATATTAGTCTGTCTGTCCTATAGTTGTGTATGACATCAGTGATATTAGTCTGTCTGTCCTACAGTTGTGTATGACATCAGTGATATTAGTCTATCTGTCCTACAGCTGTGTATGACATCAGTGATATTAGTCTACCCTACAGTTGTGTCTGACATCAGTGATATTAGTCTATCTGTCCTACAGTTGTGTATGACATCAGTGATATTAGTCTGTCTGTCCTACAGTTGTGTATGACATCAGTGATATTAGTCTGTCTGTCCTACAGTTGTGTATGACATCAGTGATATAAGTCTACCCTACAGTTGTGTCTGACATCAGTGATATTAGTCTATCTGTCCTACAGTTGTGTATGACATCAGTGATATTAGTCTGTCTGTCCTACAGTTGTGTATGACATCAGTGATATTAGTCTGTCTGTCCTACAGTTGTGTATGACATGAGTGATATTAGTCTGTCTGTCCTACAGTTGTGTATGACATCAGTGATATTAGTCTACCCTACAGTTGTGTCTGACATCAGTGATATTAGTCTATCTGTCCTACAGTTGTGTATGGCATCAGTGATATTAGTCTGTCTGTCCTACAGTTGTGTATGACATCAGTGATATTAGTCTGTCTGTCCTACAGTTGTGTATGACATCAGTGATAGTGATATTAGTCTGTCTGTCCTACAGTTGTGTATGACATCAGTGATATTAGTCTGTCTGTCCTACAGTTGTGTATGACATCAGTGATATTAGTCTACCCTACAGTTGTGTCTGACATCAGTGATATTAGTCTGTCTGTCCTACAGTTGTGTATGACATCAGTGATATTAGTCTACCCTACAGTTGTGTCTGACATCAGTGATATTAGTCTGTCTTGTGTATGGCATCAGTGATATTAGTCTGTCTGTCCTACAGTTGTGTATGACATCAGTGATATTAGTCTGTCTGTCCTACAGTTGTGTATGACATGAGCGACATTAGTGTATTTGCCCCGTACGATATTAGTGTATCCGCGATTTAAACAAGTGGTAAACATGTATTACAACCAAACAGATCTCTAACACCTTAACTGACAGATTAACCGGCAAATTAATACATGATTATGTTCTAGGTCGAAATCCCTTTAATCACTATTGGTTTTCAGTAAATGTCAGGCAATGTCCTGCCCTAGATATCAGGTGAAGTTTAAGAACATTTCAGGAGATTGCGCTCAAGTAAGTAACGTATTGTCTACGTTAACCACACGTGCTTATATAGACAAGTAATTCATTTATGTATCCGCAATTCAAAATATATTGTAATGGAAAGATATTATTCAATACTATGAACAGTGAGTGGCAAAAAAAGGTTCAAAACGTTAAGAATGTTTTATTATAAACCCCCCATATCCTTGCCATTTTACTTGCCAGGAGAGCTGCCAACTTCATTTATACAGAATACACGTATGGTTGCCATTCCCTAATTACGTATTAGACCATACCTGATATGAAATTGCCAAGGCAAAAAGAATGAAAATCATTTTGAAACCTGATTCATGACTTTCCTCTTATGGGTACCATCCTTCCGGCCACGGGGGGTGACAACAAATAAATTTATTTCTCATGGAAAAAAGGTTGCTATTGGGTAATGTTTTAAAGGCGTTGTGTCATGGCACGTGCTTATTGTGACCTACAGACCAGGAGAGTAACCAATTTGAGATTCCATAAAGACGATTTTATCGTTAAAAAAATTAACAAGAAGTGAAATTTCCGTAGTGTTTACACGTGGTTATGTTGTGAAGGCGTTCCGAGTTGGAATTTTCTGAAATTTAAGTATTTTATTACCATGACAGTGTTGTCGGTTTAAAGACAGGTGTTCAGAAATAAGTTTCTTCTATGAAGTTGTAGTGTTATGCTGAAATTAGTTGCATTTTTTGCATTTTTTGAGTTGGTAGCCATGGCAACCAGGGGAAATTCTTATTTACGCAATTTTTGTTTCTCTACTTTTAATGTAATTATTAAGTAGTTTATAAATATATTTTTCATAACCAATCTGATATACTTGTACATCTCAAACATGATTAATACTTTCAGGAAAAATGCAGATTAACTGCTACCTTATTAAGACGTTTCGATTGAATATGGCGTCATTTAATTGTGACGTCACTTCACTATAGATATCGCGTAAATGTACCAGAAATATTGGACGAGAGGAGGGAGCGCGTGAGATTTCCCCTGTCTCATGTACGAGATGATTATTTAAGTTTATAAATGTCTATCTGGGTATGCTTATTACAACAAAGAGAAAAATATTGATCTGTAAAGCACATTTCAATTGTTCAATTCAATAGGAATTTATTTAGGTGAAATTTACATGAATACTTAAAAGTATAAGTAAATACAGCAAATGCTAAACTCACATGAAAATCTGATAAGGAAAAAATGTATAGGTGATAGGAAAAGGTTTTACTTCTGATCAATACCTTCCCTGTATTTAAAGAATGTGTACCCATTAACACACATCTGCACTGGTTAATGGGTGTGTTATCTACAATTCTAGTCACTTTCTCTTTTACTCTTTTGAAAAATATTCTCCAATTTCCGCAATGTGAATACCTCTATTTATTTGACTTTAAGTTTAAGGTGAAATTCACATGTGAAATGTTCGTATATAAATTATGCCGTGATTTACAGACCATGGTATGGAGGATCATATTTTAATAGCATGATTTAAAAATTAAAAGTAAAATATGACGTCATTTATTATTTATATGGTTGCTTATTTCTCATTTCAAAAACGACATATGCGCTAATTGAGATTGGTTATGTAAACCAACTCCTAATTACGTATCACATATATAAATACGCTAGGGAAAAAAAATTAATGTCTATTGATTCGTCATGTAACAGCAAGACTTATTTCTTTTATGTAACACAAATTGAATAGATATAAAATAAATGAATTTGTATGTAAACATACAAGATTTCACATTGTAAAAAGGAAAACAAAAACAAAACAAGTTTTACCTTTCTTTTCCGAATCAGCCTTCGTCGGAAATTATTAATAACCTCGGAGCCAGGCTCAGATCCAGTTAAAGATGGCCGTTTTATCTGTCCAGGAACCGTTACAGGAGAGGAATTGGATTTCTTTCTCATTATGTCAACAACTTGTTTCATCTTTTCTTTGTTTTCCTGGCTTGGTTCTGGTGTTTTCACCGGTGTTGACTGTGATGTCCGATCTTTTGATCGACTTCGGCGACGCGGTCTTGTACTTCTATCTGTTGAAAACCCTAACATCCTCGTCGTCAGACTTGTTTTCTTTTTCAATGCAAGACTCTCATACATCGCTACTTCAGCTTCAGAAATCTTGCGCTTCATTTTCTTATCCGGAAGCTGCACGCCCATTGAATTCAGCGATTGAAGCATTGCTATTTTTTTCATTTCATACTCTGTCACTTGTATATCGCCCGCACCATCGGAATTGGTCGACGAGCGGCGACGAATTGCAGATCTATCGAAAAATGAGCTTCTTCTTCGGTGAATACGGCTTGTACTTAAGGAAGTGAAAACATCGCCTCGGTCATCATCCATTGCACTGTCTAGTGAATACCGATACTTCCGAATAGCCGGGAGAGATTCTACATCTTTTAAATCCTGTCGGAGAAGACTTATCATAGAGTCCCGCCGCGTTCGTGACTTCTTTCTTTGGTGCATATTCTTCATAGACGGAACATCCGACAGTTTGGATTGTTCGCGGACTGCCGGAAGTGGTTGTATAAACCGTCCATGTCCAATGGGCGATTCCGCTAGAATTTGTGCCATGATGAAGGTTTTATATGATGATTAGGGAGCCTTGTATGATCACATTTTCATTTAACATGAAATTTATAACCCCACGTCATTTTTGGTGAAATTTGAATTCCACGACTTTAACATTTACGCAGGATCTATAATCCTTCATTCAAAAGTTCCAATTTAGATTTGACTAAGTTCGTCAAGTTCAAGCTGCATGCAATCGTTTTAGAGATAAGATGAGAAGAATCGTTACTGAGTGTCATTTAAGCACTGCAGTGTCGTGATCTGTCCCGAATCCGTACTTCTGTTCGCTCACCTATAAAATAGAAATAGTTCTGTGGCCTGAGAGCTGCGTAACTGATTCCAGATACCGTCAATTACTTTAAATATAAATTTGGTTATCGATAAGCTCCTCAGGATTACGAAGATCAATGGCTGACCAGGAGGATTAACCCAACTGTTGGTGCTTCGTGCGGTTTTAAAATTTACGTTTTATTTGCATAAACTTAAATAAATTGTAAACGATTTTATATTTAAACATTCAAAACTGATTGATTAAAGAGAGGGAAACGATACTAGATACGTAGGATATATTTGATTTTTTTTCTCCTTTGTTTATTTTACTTGAGCGAAAAACGATAAAGGATTAACGTACACCATATATATTACAAATAGCATTGTAATATATAGTCGCATTATGTATCGTTAAGCCTTGTAAGTCAATTAGAGATCAAGCATGATATCATTTAATAAGGTCACGCACACTGAAACATTTTGTAGTTTGAGTCTTAACATAAGCACGTATGTATATGAGATCGATGTTACAAAAACAGTATATATTATTGACAATGGATTTCTCTGTAATAACTGAAGTAATTAAACCTCTGACTAGTCACATGAGTGAGATTTTCTCTTAAGGTCATATAAAAACAAAAATAAACATGGTTTCAATAGTTTTCTTCAAAAATATATCAATATATTACACACAATCGCATTTTCATACATTGGAAATAATTAGCTGAAATATAAAGATAATTAAATAGAATATATTTCAGAGATACAATATCATTTTGTAATCGCAATGTTTCAAAAAATGAAAACAATTTCGTTAACGTTTTTTTTCCTGTCTTATCTATACAAAAATGATTATATATAAGACATTCATGTTAATTATGGATTATCACGAATATTTATAAATATATGTACCATCAAGCAGATACGATCTCCTTGAAACCTTCGACATGTAAAGTTTGATACCAAGTTTTTGTCGACGAGTCTGTCAGAATAGTGTTCCCGTAAAAAGAAATTTCCGAATTATTAAGAGGTCACACAAGACAAATGTCTTCATGTTGTAGGGATACGTAGACCGTATTTATACGATAGCATATCGCCAACATTTGTTGTTGCTTAGCGTCAAATATTGACATTCTAAATCTCAAGCACTTTGCAAGGGCCTTCCTTAGCAAGTATTAAAACACATTACTCATTGTTTCTGTTCCAGGTGGAGTAGACATTGACATATCAACTTATCACTACACGAAATTGTTAAGTAATTTCAAGCTGAGCGCAACTTGAGAGGTGCTGTTACAACATCATATTTACATAAAAATATCTTTAACTACACTATCTGCCTTAGCAAAATAAAATTCCGACAGAAAATGGCAGAGACATTTTGAACCATGCCTATCAGTCTTACTCTACGGATTCTGCTTCCTTCTTATTGACAATTTATCAGCATTTTAAGGACAAGATAGAATGATTCTGACACTCTATCGATTTTCTTATAACGGTCTGGCGTAACATAAAGTCGACAGACAGCCGTAATAACTCCGACTAGATGGCGTTAAGCCTTGTCCAACCACATTTGATATTAATGTTGGTATTTTTTTTCTAATTACTCTTTAATGTTAAGTTAATGAAACAAGATGAATTATGCATTGTAAAATATGATAAGAGGAACGTTCTTTAATAGTATATATTGTAATATATATGTTCCACTATTTACAAGTTCATGTCGATAAACTATCGTAGTTTTCCTCGTGATTCATTTTCATTATCACGATAAATACACTTGTTTAGAGCGGTTGAGCGATATCATTACTTTTTTCTTTCTGATTTTCCTATTTTGTGATCCGTTGCGTCATTGGTGTTTCCAAGAATGTAACATTTATCTCGATCAAGTTGATTTTTTTTATCGATTTCATTTTAAAAAATAACAAAGAAAATATCAACCTATCAACAGTCTTAATCCAAACTAGGGAGAAATATACTCCTTGAAAAAATCATTGTAGAACAAAATCGAGTGTTCCGGAAGGGAAAGCGTCGTTTGGTTTCTCCATACCAGAAATGTTACGTGATAACAATATTTATATATTTATGTGTATTTATTACATTAGTCATGAATCAGTTTCTATCGTTGCAAACGTACTTATAGTTGTTGGTCACACAACGTTACAGAATGTGCGTTGTGCGCACGATTTCTGCACGAGGTGCGCACGATAGGAAAATTGGACGAAATAAGCTATCGCACGTTTGTGTGTGCACGTTGCGAGGTTCTATCCCAGAAATCGTGGTTGATATAAATGAAGAAATCAATAATTAGAGAAGAATACAACTATGTATATTTCCTAATTAAGCCATTAATATGTAACTCGGACGCTTGTAGATATGTCAGATACACAGTAAATAGTAAGATATACTCGTAATTTGAAGTGTTCTGTTTACGAAAAGTCACTCGTTATCAGCCATAGTGTACGGACACGCATTACACATAATTTATATAGGTAAACATTAAATGGACGCTTCTTTTTGTCACAGCAATGAATTCTTTAAAATCTCATACCGTCAGAAAGGAAACTTTATTTTCATTACTTTTGTAATATTCTCATTTTTCAGTCATTTTGTAAATTAAGTGTGTTTGTTACACGTGCGACCCAGTCGGTACGGATCCGGACCCGTCACGTATGTACCCGTATACAGGTAAACTTTTTGTTGTGTGAGGCACTACCACTCGCCACTTTTTGAGGTGTTAAACTCTAAACGATAAGACTAGTGTTATTTTTTGTAAAACTTTATAATGTTGGGAAACACGGGTCATAGGAGTGATGTCCCCTTCATGGTACTAGGGTTTCTTCCCACAGTAAGATCCCTCGCAAGTTTCCATCTGGGCCAACAAGAGTGAATACTATAAGCTTATAGCTTGTTTCGCAATAGTTGTAAAATGAATGAAGTTTATTTTTAATGACGGATCATAGAAATTTAAAGAAGATCTGTCATGTTTTAAGTAATTTTTGTGCCCAAGCAAAGTGGAATAGTGGAAACGGAAATCGGTAGCGTATTCTTCCGTTTAAAAAACTATTAAGAAAATACATTACATATAAATCTAATAAGTAGACTTACCTCGGGCTCCATATAGACTTCTAGGTATCCTCCTGTCAGGGCTATCTTGTAAGTGCTGCATTTGTCCTTATACTGACTAGACATAACAATACTGGTAATTTATCGAATTGGGACTACATAACGTAGATTTAACCCTGACGACTTGTCAGTTATGACATTATAAATGACATGATCTCCTCGAATAGAGGTGTCACAAGTGTGCATTAGCCACTAGTTATTGATGAATGTGAGGTTTCAAATACTCTCCTTTTTATAAGTGAACTACGATAATAATCTTATCTGTTTAATGTATGTTATTCAAGCACACAACTTCCCCTTTGTACATTATTTCAAAAAATTTCTTATGAAAAAAAAAAACATTTTAAATTTAAAAACCTATTAGCTGATAATTAGTTATTTTTTTCATAGTTTTTTTATCATGAAAGTCAATTTGATTCGTATCCTGGATATTCAGAAGAATGAAAACTATTTACTCTATAGAAAGTGAATGACCTATTAGGTATTTTATGAGCGATATTTTGTAAGGGGTCTTTTCGACATAAAAAATGTATGATTTTAAAAGAGTCTCCGTCTTAATAAATCAGATTAAAGACTCGACAGCTTGATTGATAATACTGTTACCCGGACACCATATACATTGTACCGCCAATGTAATCACTTTAGTTTGTCGTCCCACTATATTTGACTGCTTTGTTATTATGTAAGTTATATTTAATATATCATTTTCCCTTCATGTAACATTACAATAGGGAAACATACCTGTTTTAAATCACCCGTATTTGCACCATTTCTTACCTGATTGGTGAATATGCTGTTTTGCTAATGATAAAGATCATCTTCAATGTTTATATTCATTCAAGCTGACCATGACTTCAGTATGTATTGCGACATAACACATTACGGACATAAGAATTCTTGTATCAAAGAAATTTCTTTTTTGATTTACAGCTGTCTTCAGCTGATTTATCTAGGTAATGATTTTTGTAGACTTGTTCACTGTATAGGTAGTCGTTGGTGATTTGCCGACTACCCTGGAGCTGACACGAGCCAGACAGGTGCTAGATACGCCAGGTATATCATACTTTATATATTATATTTCCAACCTTACAAAACAACCGGCGTACTTAATGAAAAACTACGCGTAGTGTTTAACAAAAAAGAAAACATCGAATTTTTAAAACCGTAAACCCAACTTAAAATTCACAGATCACAGAAATAAAAATAGACTGAAACTTTTAAATCGTGTAAAGGACATGAAGTGAGTGTATTTCATTGACGAACTATGCAGTGCAAGTCTTTGTAATTCAGGTAATGCCATGTTCTCAAGATGAGAACTGAGGACAAGAAGCAAAACCAACAAACATATTAACAAACAGCGAAGAAAGACAGTACTTTCAAGACTATTTCACTTGATCTTAATTTTAGTAAATTGCCAGTAATTGTCACCAATTCATATCTCTTAAAATCCTACTTGTGTCCCTTGCCAGCGGACATGTATCGGGGAAATCGATATATTGGAACAAATGTTAAAAAATACCCAATGACTTTTAATGTTTATCCTGAGTATCAACCAAATTACTTCCGCGATTTAAATTTTTTTGACAAATTCATTTAAAGCGCGTGATTAT